GTTGTTAACATGGTCAAGAAATACAGTGTAGGGTGATGTTTGTGGTGATATGTGTTTGTTTTTGTGTGTTTTTTTCCCGTGTATTGGCTTGTTGTAAAGGTCCATTATTGATTATTGGTTATTATTGTTTACCTATGTTTTCATGTTGTTTTTACTTATATTGTGTGTTGAAAATCCCCCTCGATGGACTGTCACCTTGTCGTGGTGAGGGGGCTTGCGCATTCCGATGAACCTGTAGGCACAACAACTGGAGTCGTGCACTCCCAGGAGTGGCCGCGGGGGAGGTTCCAGACCAAGCACAGTCCGAAGACCCAAAGACCTCAACGGCGGAGCAGGTGGAGGATAACATGGCACATGTTACAACGGCTGCGAAGGCGGAAGAAGGCTGCAACAGACTGAGAAGCCACGGTCATTGTGTTAAACTACATCACCAGTGGAACCTCACTCTGTGAAGTCTGTGTGTTGATCAGTTGTGCACTGACCTCCACACATTAAAAAAACCCACGCACAGGCGTCTTCCAAAGAAAATAAAAACCAAGCAACCAAAGCCCCATGGCGATCAGCGAGTGGCGACGGGGGCAGGACTGTGAAATCTGGAAGCCCCTAGTCACAGACTGGCACATGGGCGGTGGGTACGGACTCAGTCGTTCTACCTCAAGGTCCGAGGCAGTTGAGTAGTTCGGCAGCTGTATCCGCGACTGAGCAGCCCTTTTTAGGACCCACTCTGCTCACCCCACATGGGGAGGGGGCTAGAAAAGGTGCCCTAAACATAGTCTGCCTCACTTATCCCTGACTGGACTGCCGCGTCCAGTGGGGTCACCACCCTGCGGCCAAAAAAGAAAAATGAACTTCGGTACGTGGAACGTACGGACTCTGATGGACAACAGTGGCAGTGAACGCCCCGAACGCAGAACTGCCATCATTGCAAGGGAGCTGGGACGCTTCAACATCGACATAGCAGCCCTTCAGGAGACCCGGAGAGCAGGAGAGGGACAGCTGAAGGAAGAAAAAGGAGGCTACACCTTCTTCTGGAAGGGACTGCCCGAAAAAGACCAAAGAATGCACGGAGTTGGCTTTGCCATCAGGAATGATCTGGTGAAACATCTGTCCGAAGCACCCACTGACATAATAAGCGTAGGCATCCAACCACGAACGAACTCGCTCATTACACTCAACGAACCGCAAACTACCAAATCTCAACCCCTGCACGATGCCCTGACTCTGCTTGATTTTTTCTCTACTGTCAGCTGGACACCGTCCTATCGGGGATACCTAAGGAGGACAAAATCATCCTCCTGGGGGACTTCACGGCAAGAGTCGGCCGAGACTTCGACCTGTGGCCAGGGACCATAGGAAAAGACGGGGTTGGAAACAGCAACTCAAATGGCATCCTGCTTCTCACCAAATGTGCGGAGCACAACCTTGTCATCACCAACACGCTCTTCCGCCAGAAAAACAAGTTCAAGACATCATGGAAGCACCCCCGGTCAAAGCATTGGCACCTCTTAGACTATGTAATCACACGTGCCAGAGACCGCCGTGACGTGCTCCTCACAAGAGCCATGACAGGTGCTGACGACTGCTGGACTGACCACAGGCTAATTCGATCCTCGATGGCTATCAAGATCCTTCCCAAGCGCAGACTCCAAGGAAGGAAGACAAGGCGCAAAATGAACACCCAAGCCCTTCAGAAGCCCTCCAGACAAGCCCATCTCCAAACAGCACTCAAGGACCATCTACCCACAGTACACCCCGAAAATGTTGAGGAACATTGGAACAAACTGAAGACCTCCATCATCCAAGCCTGCGAAGAAACTATTGGATACCAAGCCAAGAAACATCAAGACTGGTTTGATGAAAATGACATCGAGATCCAACAGCTAATTGACAAGAAAAGGAAAGCCTTCCAAGCATGGCAGAGAGACATCAACTGTGCAGCTAAGAAAAAGATCTATGCCAGTGCAAAAGCTGAGGTCCAAAGGTCCAAGAGAACTCAAGAACATCTGGTGGACAAAGAAGGCCGAAGAAATCCAACACCTGGCAGATACCCATAATGCTCAGGGATTTTTCAAGGCCACAAAGGTCATCTACGGACCAAGAAACCATGGCATACAGCCTCTACGCTCATCAGATGGATCCAAACTCCTGAAGGACCAAAACTCAATTGCACTACGTTGGAAAGAACACTACCAAAGCCTCCTGAACCGCAGCTCCAATGTGGCCGAAGAGGTCCTCTCACAAATCCCACAACAACAAACCAGGGATGAGCTTGCAGCACTGCCCAGTTTGGAAGAAGTCAGCAATGCCATCAGCCAACAGAAAAATTACAAAGCCAGTGGACCAGACGGGATCCCTGCTGAAATCTTTAAAGAGGGAGGACCTGAGCTGACACACCAACNGAGCTTGCAGCACTGCCTAGTTTGGAAGAAGTCAGCAATGCCATCAGCCAACAGAAGAATAACAAAGCCAGCAGACCGGATGGGATTCCTGCGGAAATCTTTAAAGAGGGAGGACCTGAGCTGACACACCAACTCCACCAGCTCATAGAAAAAGTGTGGGTGACCGAGAAAATCCCAGCAGATTTCAAGGACGCCACCATCATCACCCTCTTCAAAAAAAAGGGGAAAGAACAGACTGCGAAAACTATCGAGGTATCTCCCTTCTAACCTCCGCTGGGAAAATCATCGCAAGAATCCTTGCAAACCGCCTTCTGCCCCTCTCAGAAGACACCCTCCCAGAATCCCAGAACGGCTTCCGCCCCTCCAGAGGAACAGTGGACATGATCTTCATTGCACAACAGCTCCAAGAAAAATGCAGGGAACAAAACCAACCTCTCTACATGGCATTCATCGACCTTGCAAAGGCATTCGACACAGTGAATCGCAGCGCTCTCTGGACCATCCTCCACAAAATCGGGTGCCCTAACAAATTTGTGAACATCCTGCGGCTCCTCCATGATGACATGATGGCAACAAGTTTTGGACAAGTTTTGGACAGCAGTGGCTCCCAAAGTGACCCATTTAAGGTGGAATCGGGTGTCAAACAGGGATGTGTTATTGCCCCAACTCTATTCTCCATCTTCATTGCTAAGATACTTCACCTTGTTAACAGGAAGCTTCCCACCGGAGTGGAAATCATCTATCGGACAGATGGCAAGCTGTTTAACCTCAGCAGACTGAAAGCCAAAACCAAAGTTACAACAACATCTGTTATAGAACTCCAGTATGCTGATGACAATGTCGTCTGTGTGCATTCAGAAGAAGATCTACAAGCCACTCTAAACACCTTCGCAGAAGCATACACCAAGCTTGGCCTGTCACTCAACATCGAGAAAACCAAAGTGCTGTTCCAGCAGTCACCAGCCATCCCCTCCCCAATGCCAGAGATACAGCTTAATGGTGTCACATTAGAAAATATTGACCATTTCCGCTACCTTGGGAGCCACCTCTCCACCAAAGTCAACATCGATGCCGAAATTCAACACCGCCTGAGCTCTGCAAGTGCAGCATTTTCCCGAATGAAGCAGAGACTGTTTGAGGACCGGGACATCCGTAGGGATACCAAGGTGCTTGTCTATAAAGCTATTGTCCTCTCAACCCTGCTATATGCCTGTGAGACATGGACTGTCTACAGACGTCACATGCAACTCCTGGAACGATTCCATCAGCGCTGCCTCCGGAAAATCCTGCAAATCTCCTGGGAAGACAAGCGGACAAGCGTCAGTGTGCTGGAAGAAGCAAAGACCACCAGCATTGAAGCGATGGTCTTCCAACATCAACTCCGCTGGGCCGGCCACGTTGTCCGAATGCCTGACAACTGTCTCCCAAAGCAGTTGCTCTACTCTGAACTTAAGAACGGAAAACGGAACGTTGGTGGACAGGAAAAGAGATTTAAAGATGGGCTCAAAGCCAACCTTAAAAACTCTGGCATAGACACTGAGAACTGGGAAGCCCTGGCCCTTGACCGCTCCAACTGGAGGTCAGCTGTGAACAGCAGTGCTGCAGAATTCGAGGAGACACGAGTGGAGGGTGAAAGAGAGAAACGTGCCAAGAGGAAGGCGCGTCAAGCCAACCCCGACCGGGACCGCCTTCCACCTGGAAACCAATGCCCTCACTGCGGAAGAAGATGCAGAGCAAGAATAGGGCTCCACAGCCACATGTGGACCCACAAGGAAACCCATAATGGAAGACCATCTTACTCGTCCAATGAGGGATCGCCTAAGTAAGTAAGTAAGTGGGAGGCTTCTCTCATGTCCCCGCATGAAGAGCTGGAGCTGATAGAGGGAGCTCATCTGCCTCTCCCCGGATTCGAACCTGCGACCTGTCGGTCTTCCGTCCTGCCGGCACAGGGGTTTAACCCACTGCGCCACCGGGGGCTCCTGTCTTATAGGATATTAAGATGATTCTGTTTTTTTAATGTGATTTGAGTGATTTTGATTGATGTGTGTTTTCTTTTTTAAGATTTTAAATCCATTGGTATTTTTAATGTTCTAATTTGCATTACATCTTGGTCAAGAGATAAAAGCATGATACTAATCATCATCTTTATCTGGAAATGTCCCATAAAAATCGTAATGCAGTAATCCTTATCTGGACGTCCTCCATAATAATAATAATAATAATAATAATAATAATAATAATAATATATCTGGAAATAACATCTGGAAATGTTCCATAACAACAACAAGGGGTTCTCAAACTGTAAAAGCTCTGACAGAAATCAGAGCTTGGGAAAGTTACTTTTTTGGAGCAGAACTCCCAGAATCCTCTAAACAGGATGGCCAGTGTCCATTGAAGAAAAGAACATGCAAGTTGACGGATAATGGGAGTTGCAGTTTCCCCCGAGTGTCCTCGAATGACTCCTGGTCAGACAGCAGTAATTCCACTAGGTAAAGGAGGGGGGAGGCTTCAGGAGTGCGTGACGTCACGAGGCACCAGTACGCAGGCGCTGGATTGATTCTGTCCCCGCCGGTGTCGCCGCAGAAGCGTTCGCGTCGCCACGGCAACCAATTTAAATACAGGACGCTCTAGGTGTGGTTTCTATGTCACTTCCGCTGCCAAGATGGCGGCGCCAAAGGGGAAGCTGAAAGCTGCAGTCCCGCTTCGTTGCTAGGTAACCCCTCTATTTCCCCCCATGCACCCCATCTTTACTTTTTTTATCTCTCCACAATGCATTCTGTTATTTTATTCATTGTTTTGATATCATAAATATGTATAATAGTTACTTTTAAGTCTTGAGGGGGGATTCCTTTCAAATTGGGGAGGAAAAGTCGACTTAAATAACAACAACAGCAACTCTTATTACTACTACTTTGGGTCGCCCCAATACATGACTAGTAACAACAATAATAACAATTCTTTTCCTCCTGTCCTGATCCCAAACAACAACAACAGCAACATTGATGACTCTAAACAATAATAACAATAACTCCTACCTTGGTTGGCCCCAATAAATCAAATAATAATAGAGTTGGAAGAGACTTCAAGGACCATCCTGTCCAACCGCCTTCTGCCATGCAAGAAAAGCACAATCAAAACACCCCCGATAGATGGCCCTCCAGCCTCTGTTAAAAGCCTCCAAGGAAGAAGCTTCCACCGGACTCCCAGGCAGAGAGTTCCACTGCTCAACAGCTCTTCTTACAGTCAGCAAAATCAAGAGCAAACCTGCAGAACCTATCATGTTCATAATTTGGGGACTGCCTGTATCTACTTTGAAATGGAACATGTTGCAGTGTAGATTCATATATTCCAGTTGAAATCAGATAATCTGGATTCAGAAACTGGATTATATGGCAACCTAGATGCAACCTCTAGCTGTTCTAGCATGACTGATGGAAGCTGACCACTGATTTGTATCAGAGGACCTAGAGATTCCATCTTATTTATTCCATCTTCCTGGCAATATTAGATCAGCCCCCTCCCCCCTGTCCTTCAGAAGGATGGTGAAGACCTGGCTGTGGGACCAAACCTTTGGGGCAGTGCAGTGAGGCAATAATAGAACGATGTCCTTAGATGGTTTTTAAGCAACTGATTTTAAAGTGAATATAAATGATTTTAATGTTTGAGTATATTTATGATTTTATGTCCCGGCATTGAGTGTTTGCAGTATATATGTTGTGCTCCGCCCTGAGTCCCCTGCAGGGTGAGAAGGGCAGAATTGAAATGTTTTAAATAAACAAACAAATACATTTATTTACCCTATTTATAACCCACCTTTCTCTACCCCGAAGGGGACTGAAGGTAGCTTACATAGAGGCAATTATTCAGTGCCTTAAAACACATACAATTCCAGTAACATTAACATTGAAATTAAATTAAAATGATCTCTCAGTTAAAAATAGCATTGTGTAACATGATGTTTGTTCCTGGGTTATAAAATGTCATTTCCTAATTGGTTCTATCATTAAAACATGGGGAAAGTTTATTAAGTTGCAAAAACTTTTTCTTTGCGGGAGGGACATCCTGCAGCAATTTTTTCCCCTCTAGTTTTCAATTAATATCTCATCATTGAGTCTTGACCAATTCAGCTTAAGTTGTGGCAGCCTCAAAAACAACAAAATTTTTGGAGTTTAACAACTACTTTCAAAGTAAAGACCACACAGTTAAACAGGAAATAACACTTTCAAACCAGGAACAGACATTTTCAAATTTTGTTACGTAGTGTAATAGGGTTGGTTATTTTTTCTCCTGTTCCTCAACTTTTACAGGGGTCTCATGGCCTTAACTTTAGCAGATGTGGAGGGCAGACTCCAAAGTCATGGGGGAAGGCAGGCTTCTTATTGACCAGCCGTTGTACAATTTTTCCAGGATGGATTTCCTGGTCCTCTTCCTGCTTTACCTGGCACTGGTCCTGCTCAGCCTCCTCCTGCTCTGCATCTATTCTGCAAGGAAGCAAAGCTTCCCCTCAAGATATTTCACTAGAGTCACACAGGTAAGAAAGGCTTCAGAATTTCTTTTACATGTAACTTCTCTTTGCCAAGTTGCTTCTAAACTTGTAACTCCCATTTATAACTCTTTGTACAATTTTCCTACCGCCTTCAACTTTCCCCAACATAATAGACTTTCCCAATTGATCCTACTGACTTAAGAGATTTTCAAAACCTGACATTATTCATTCAGTCATTTAGGCTTTAAGTGCAGGCTTGTCTACACTAGAAGTGAGGAAATACCCTAATCCAGAAGGATTCTGAACTAACCTCTGCCTTAAGATGCTAATTTTATTGGACATTTTAGAACACTGCTGTTTGAAGTAGTGCAGCCCAGATAGGATTCCATTTTCGGTTGCTGAGTAACTCATAGCGTCAGTAACAAGTTGCTGAGTGCTTCTACCTTCAGGACTGGATTTAAGGTAATGTCAGTCTAGAATTTGTGCCATCATCGCAACTGGGCTGATGACTATTGAGCACTAGTGTTCATAGAATAATAGAGTTGAAAGAGATCCCAAAGGCCATCTAGTCCAACCACCTGCAGTACAGGAAAAGTGCAATCAAAGCCCTCCCAACAAATGGCCATCTAGTCTTTGTTTAAAGTCCTCCAAAGAAGGAGCTTCCATATGTTTTGTCTTTTCCCACTCCTTTGCATTTTCTGAATGTCTGTTGCTTTTTAACATGTATTTTAACACAGTGTTTCTTGTTGTGTGTATTTTATTTCATTTTAATAATGTTGGACCTCACTGTGATCCACAGGAAGAGACATGTAATAAATGTATTATTACTACTACTACTACTATTATTATTATTTTCAACATCATCATCACCATCATCTTTTTTAATGCAGACCATTTCACATATAATCCCAGCCCAGGTTCAAGGAGCTGTTCATAGGGTGCTTCATGGACTCTTCTATTCCAGGTATGTTCTGCTCGTTCTACTCCTCCACTTGTTCCTCTCTCTCTCTTTGTCTGGTTGTTGACCCTCATGGGCTGTTGAATAGCCACCACTTTGCAAAACGGGCTGTTAGGGTTTCACCTGTCTTCCTAGTGGCCTCAAGTGTGTCATACTCATGCAGACTTTTCAGAAATGGCCACAGACAGCCTCCCTCTTTGTGTCTAATAGACAGGGAAGATGGGGCTAGAGCTTGGAAAAGCACTGCCTATTTTCCAAAATTATTAGTCTAAATTTGTATGCCTATAATGATAAATAACCAAACAAGGGAGCAGATGGACATATCCTTAAATTGAACTGAAAAAGGAAAAATGTTATCACTAATTCTTCTGTTAATGAATAAGACTCATCTTTCAATAAATCATTGTAGGTCCAATTATTATTATCCTTCCTCTCCTTATGGCTCAAGGCAGGCCACACCATTAAAGTAACCCTTGACTTAATTTAAGGTTATAATAATAGCAATAATAAGGAAAATAATAAGAATGTATTACTGGCCTCTCCTTGCAGCTCAAGGTGGGTCACAACATTAAATTAACTTTTGGCTTACTTTAATTATATTACAATAATAGTGATGATGCTGGATATGTATTACGTCTTGAGACAATACATCACATTAAAGGAACTTTTGATTTAACTTTATCATAGAATCATAGAATCAAAGAGTTGGAAGAGACCTCATGGGCCATCCAGTCCAACCCCCTGCCAAGAAGCAGGAATATTGCATTCAAATCACCCCTGACAGATGGCCATCCAGCCTCTGCTTAAAAGCTTCCAAAGAAGGAGCCTCCACCACACTCCTGGGCAGAGAGTTCCACTGCTGAACGGCTCTCACAGTCAGGAAGTTCTTCCTCATGTTCAGATGGAATCTCCTCTCTTGTAGTTTGAAGCCATTGTTCCATTGCGTCCTAGTCTCCAAGGAAGCAGAAAACAAGCTTGCTCCCTCCTCCCTGTGGCTTCCTCTCACATATTTATACATGGCTATCATATCTCCTCTCAGCCTTCTCTTCTTCAGGCTAAACATGCCCAGCTCCTTAAGCCGCTCCTCATAGGGCTTGTTCTCCAGACCCTTGATCATTTTAGTCTCCCTCCTCTGGATACATTCCAGCTTGTCAATATCTCTCTTGAATTGTGGTGCCCAGAATTGGACACAATATTCCAGGTGTGGTCTAACCAAAGCGGAATAGAGGGGTAGCATTACTTCCCCAGATCTAGACACTATGCTCCTATTGATGCAGGCCAAAATCCCATTGGCTTTTTTTGCCGCCACATCACATTGTTGGCTCATGTTTAACTTGTTGTCCACGAGGACTCCAAGATCTTTTTCACACGTACTGCTCTGAAGCCAGGCATTGTCTCCCATTCTGTCTCTTTGTATTTCGTTTTTTCTGCCAAAGTGGAGTATCTTGCATTTGTCCCTGTTGAACTTCATTTTGTTAGTTTTGGCCCATCCCTCTAATCTGTCAAGATTGTTTTGAATTCTGCTCCTGTCCTCTGGAGTATTGGCTATCCCTCCCAATTTGGTGTCGTCTGCAAACTTGATGATCCTGCCTTCTAACCCTTCATCTAAGTCATTAATAAAGATGTTGAACAGGACCGGGCCCAGGACGGAACCCTGCGGCACTCCGCTCGTCACTTCTTTCCAGGATGAAGAGGAAGCATTGGTGAGCACCCTCTGGGTTCGTCCATTTAACCAATTACAGATCCACCTCACCGTAGTTTTGCCTAGCCCACATTGGACTAGTTTCCTTGCCAGAAGGTCATGGGGGACCTTGTCGAAGGCCTTACTGAAATCCAGGTACGCTACATCCACGGCATTCCCCGCATCTATCCAGCTTGTAACTCTATCGAAAAAAGAGATCAGATTAGTCTGGCATGACTTGTTTTTGATAAATCCATGTTGACTATGAAATGTTGAAATGAAGTTCAACAGTGACAAATGCAAGATACTCCACTTTGGCAGGAAAAACAAAATGCAAAGATACAGAATGGGGGACAATGCCTGGCTCGAGAGCAGTACGTGTGAAAAAGATCTTGGAGTCCTCGTGGACAACAAGTTAAACATGAGCCAACAATGTGATGTGGCGGCAAAAAAAGCCAATGGGATTTTGGCCTGCATCAATAGGAGCATAGTGTCTAGAGCTAGGGAAGTCATGCTACCCCTCTATTCTGCTTTGGTTAGACCACACCTGGAATATTGTGTCCAATTCTGGGCACCACAATTCAAGAGAGATATTGACAAGCTGGAATGTGTCCAGAGGAGAGCGACTAAAATGATAAAAGGTCTGGAGAACAATCCCTATGAGGAGCGGCTTAAGGAGCTGGGCATGTTTAGCCTGAAGAAGAGAAGGCTGAGAGGGGATATGATAGCCATGTATAAATATGTGAGAGGAAGCCACAGGGAGGAGGGAGCAAGCTTGTTTTCTGCTTCCCTGGAGACTAGGACGCGGAACAATGGCTTCAAACTACAAGAAAGGAGATTCCATCTGAACATGAGGAAGAACTTCCTGACTGTGAGAGCCGTTCAGCACTGGAACTCTCTGCCCCGGAGTGTGGTGGAGGCTCCTTCTTTGGAAGCTTTTAAACAGAGGCTGGATGGCCATCTGTCAGGGGTGATTTGAATGCAATATTCCTGCTTCTTGGCAGGGGGTTGGACTGGATGGCCCATGAGGTCTCTTCCAACTCTTTGATTCTATGATTCTATGACTATTAGCGATGACCGCATTTGTTTCTAAGTGTTTGCAGACCACTTCCTTAACAATCTTTTCCAGAATCTTGCCTGGTATTGACGTGAGGCTGACCGGACGGTAATTGTTTGGGTCATCCTTTTTTCCCTTCTTGAAGATTGGGACCACATTGGCGCTCCTCCAATCTGCTGGAACTTCTCCCGTTCTCCAAGAACTCTCAAAGATGATTGCCAATGGTTCCGAAATGACTTCCGCTAGTTCCTTCAGTACTCTTGGGTGTAGTTGATCTGGCCCTGGGGACTTGAACTCATTTAGAGCGGCCAGGTATTCCTGGACGACTTGTTTCCCAATTTGGGGTTGGATGTCCTCTAATCCCTCATCCACTCCATCTTGCTGAGATTGAAGATGACCTTCTTTTTGTAAGACGACCGAGGCAAAGAAGGCATTAAGTAGTTGTGCCTTTTCCCTACCCCCTGTCAGCATTGCCCCATTTTCTCCTCGAAGAGGCCCTATCGCCTCCTTGTTTTTCCTTTTTCTACTGACAAAAGAAAGGAAGCCCTTTTTATTGTTTTTAATGTCTCTGGCAAGCCTGAGCTCGTTTTGTGTTTTAGCTTTGCGGACCTTTTCCCTACAGATGTTGGCTAATTAGACTGATTCTCAGGAAAGGTTTGGATTAAATTGGAGGGCATTTATCAGTGTGGGTTTAAAGCAATTAGCCTTAGGAAATCCTAACTCAAAAAAATATAATTGGGCCATTGTTGCTCCTTCTCAAGGATAGCTTATTTTGAAAAGAGTTTATTGTTTCTGTCTGAAAATGTCACTGGCCTCTTTCTGGTGTGTCCTTTGTCTTCTTAAAAAAACAGGCTATTTGTGGCCCTGCACCTGGCCCTGGAGGTTTTGGTGTTTGGTGAATTCACCTGGGAAGTGTTTGGCTATTGCAAGGAACTAGAATTCAGCACTCCTTCTCTCCTCCTGCCTTACCTTTTGCTGATCGTGAACATGGGCTTCTTCATCCTCTGCTCCAGGACTGACCCAGGTAAGAGCACTTTGACCTGAGGCTGATAATGCCAGGTAAAGGCTCGGAACACAAAAGGTGTTGCATTAATAAATCTGTGCCGGTATTGTCCCATATGGACTCTAATGGGCTCAAGTGATTCCACCCTCCCCTGCTTTCTCTCCTCAGGCGCCATCACCAAATCCAACCAGGCCCAGTTCCTCCATGCATATCCCTACGATGGCGTGATGTTTGAGACAGGTGCAGAGTGCATTACCTGTAAAGTGAAGAAACCTGCCCGGTCAAAGCATTGTGGTAAGATGATTGGCTTTGGGGTGGTTTTATGTTTTTAGTTATCTGTTGTATTGTAATTCTTTGCTGTATCCCACCTTGAGCCTTGAAGGGGAGATGTGGGCAAGAAATAAAACTACTACTACTACTACTACTACTACTACTACTACTTCCTCCTCTTCTTTTTTCTTCCTCCTCTTCCGTCTTTTATCTATATAAATAAAAATGTAATGTTCATTTGTGGGATTAACAGAACTCAAAAATCACTGGGGGAATTGACATCAAATTTGGACACAATACACCTAACAACCCAATGTATGTCCACTGAAAAACACAGCAGAAGGGACTTAAAAGCCCCGAAAAGCTAAATGACAATACAGAAGAAAAGGAAGAAAGAGGGAGGGAAAGGGAGAAAAAGAAAGAAAGAAAGAGGGAGGGAAAGAAAGAAAGAAAGAAAGAAAGAAAGAAAGGGAGAAGGAAGCATGGAAGCAAAGAGAGAAGGAAGGAATGAAAGAGGTAGAGAAGGAAGGAAGGAGAGAAAGAGGAAGGAAAAGAAAAAGGGGAAAGGAAGGAGAGTTAGGGAAGGAAGGGGAGAAGGAAAGAAAAAAGGGAGAGAAGAAAAGAGGGAGCGAAAGAAGGGGGAAGATGTAGAGAAAGAGGGTGGGAAGGAAAGAGAGAAGGAAGAAAAGAGAGACAGCCAGGCAGGAAAAGCACAATTAAACCATCTGTGACTGATGGCCATCCAGTTTCTGTTTAAAAGCCTCCAAAGGAGGAGACTCCACTGGACTTAAGAAAGTAGACTCCACTGTTCGACAGTTTTTCTTATGGTCAGGATGTTCTTCCTCATGTTCAAGTAGAATTCCCTTTCCTGTCATTTGAACCCATTTAATTTTAAATCAAAGCTCTGTGGTTCCCTTTCTCTTCCGTGGTGGCAAAGGCTTGTTTCTTGGAACCATTACCCTCTTATTCTGGCTTTGCTTAGGAGTGTGCAACGGCTGCGTGCATCGCTTTGACCATCACTGCATCTGGGTCAACAACTGTGTCGGTGCCTTCAACATCAAGTACTTCCTGGCCTACGTGCTCACTTTGACCTCCATGGCTGCCTCCATCGCTGGTTTGACAGCTGCTTTCCTCATCCAGGTAGTCCTTTTGTCAAACCTGATGCAGGGACATTATACCGATGTCCATGGAGAAGAGCACCCGGTTGATGCCTCCTTCCTAATTCAGGTAAAGGTGGAGCCACAATTGTTACCAAATGCCTTCCTTGTTAGCAAATGGGAAATACTGAACACTATCGTGTCAGGATTTTCTTTTGTCAAATCTGAGGTCTGCATGAAATGCTAGGATACTTTGAATCAAATAATGCTTTATTGTTTATAATTTGGAAAGCAGGGACTCCTATTAATTATATTGACATTAAATAGCTGTGGTTTGCAATGTGGCTACCATTTGGAGTAAGTTGTTTTATCCTTTCCAGCTTCCTGTCTCCTCTTAATGCAAATATAAGAAAACTTGTGTCTCTGATGAATTACAGATCTGTTAATTACAATAGCACTGGCCAAAAACACATTTTGGTCCCTCAGAGGTTAGCTCTGCTTTTTCCTGGTATATCTGGCCTGCTGATTCCAGTAATGACACCCATTTCCTCCAATCAACTTCGGTTTTTGAGATACAGAACATATGCCGTCTACCACTCCCCATCTACTCATAACCCTATTGAAGAAATTAGAGTGATCTATCCAATGCAATTTTCTGGCTTGGTGCCCCCCAAAAAACCAGGAACAGACCTAAAACCCCAAGAAAAATATATATACAGGCAGTCACTGAGTAACAAACCCCCAACTTACCAAAGACTCCTAGTTCAGAACAGGGGTAAGACAACAGGAAGTGAGGGGAATCTTTCCCTCAGAAAGGAAATCCACCCCTGGAAGAGTTATTATCCTGGGGAAAATAGGTCTTCACTGAAGCTTTATCTCCAGTTCTTGTTTCCACAAGCCAAATCTTTCAAAATCCAGTTATCACAGAGAAGTAAGTGAGGTGAAATCTTCTGAACAGGGGCACAGACAGCAAAGGAAACTCCACAGGGGTGTTAACCCTCCCCTATGCCATCCAAAGTGTGTATATATGCATGTATGGCTGGAGTTACTATTAAAAATTGTACTTGTTCCTACTTACATACAAATTCATTTTAAGAATAAATCTACAGAACCTACCTTGTTCATAAGTTGGGGACTGCCTGCATTTTTGTTGGGCTGTGTAATTCTTCTGTATTTCTTTACACTCCGTTTAACCAAAGGTGTATCCAGTCATTCTAACTATTCCAGATATTCTATTACCTTTGTAAGCTTTTGGAAGAGATTGATATTAGTGTACATTTTCAACCAGGCCTCTTCAACCTTTGGTCCTCCAGGTGTTTTGGACTCCAGCTCACAGAATCCCTGCCCATTAGACAAACTGGCAATAGGGGCTTCTGGGAGTTGGAGGCCCAAACACCTGGAGAACCAAAGGTTTAGATCAGAAATGGGCAGACTTTGGCCTTCCAGCTGGTAGGCTAGTAATTGTGGGAGCTGAAGTCCAAAACACCTGGAGGGTTGAAGTTTGTCCATGCCTGGTTTAGTCAGTGTGCCTTGCATCCAGCTATATCTCTGTTTTCACTTCTCATTGCAGCACCTTTTCCTGACCTTCCCAAGGATCGTGTTCATGCTCGGCTTCGTGGTCCTCCTCTCCATTATCCTGGCTTCCTACTTCTGCTTTATTCTGTACCTGGTTATGACCAACCAGACGAGCAATGAGTGGTTCAAGTCCTCAAGATTCAAGCACAGAAGCTACAGGAACATTTACTCCAGAGGGGTCTGGAGCAATATGGTTGAAATTGCCAGGCCTCTGACCAGCCCTACAAAGAAGAGAAGGTGAGGAGCCCTGAACATTAAATGGATTCTACACAGATCCTTCTGAAAACAGCTCAATCGGAGCACAATGTGGCTGGTTTGCAAGGGCTTCAAAAGTCAGGTATGCCTCATGTTATTTGGCCTACTTTTTCTATAAATGGAAGTTGGTACTTTCTGCTGCTGTGGAGATATAGGAACCTATGCCAAGAGACTTCAAGGCAGTGAAAGGGAGAAATTGGAAGTAAAATCATGTTTAGGATGTGGCCTGCTCTTGCTTTGAGCCATGCTCGTCATGAGAGCTAGAAACCCAAAGTTAAATGTAAAGGCTCTTCAAAGACTTTTCAGAATGCCCTTTCATTTGCACAGAACACAAAGGTCCCTTTTAGAAAAGTGATTACATTATTAAAGTTGGAAGATGCCTCTTTTATTACATCAGACAGTATATATAAAATTATACATTAAAAATTATTTATAATCTTGGCTGTACATCGTTACAAAAGAAACGTATAGTGGCCTTTTTTGGTAAGTTCCCAGAGCATTTCTCAAAATAATCTGTAATACTATGTAGAGTAAAGCGTTTTCAAACCTTCCTTTAAAGGTTCATGTTCAAGCGAGTTTACATTCCAGAAAGGAGCAGCTGCAAATGTTCCCTGCAAGCTCTTTCCTTCCCCTTTTAAGCTGAGATAAAGTGCTTGGCTCCGTCACTGAGCTGGAAGTACTAGGAGGAATTGCTTGGCCCTCAATACACAGATGGATGGACTGTATCTCCCAGGCAACAAAGGCCAGGAAGAGGGATGCCAGGAGCTGCAGTCCAACATCACAGGGGTCTTTGGATTGGCTCTTGTTTGCTGGATGTGGTCTTTTCCACACACATATGGAAGCCCGTGCATTTGGAAGCCTCTGAATATGGCTCTCTCCCACCCACTTGATATGAGGACTAGGGACAGCCTTATACGATGACTGTCTGGACCTCCAGCTCCTCCTCCTGGGCGGCAATGACATACTCTCCGGCCGGCTCCATGATCTCGATATCCTCAGAGGCCACCATGGTCACCGCTGTCCCCTCCTCGGCCTCCCCTTTGTGGATAGCGGAGGCCAGTGTCAGGGCCACCTGCTCCGTCAGGCTCTCAGGGCTGGCAACGGCCAGGGGCTCTGCCTCCGAAGTGCCCACCACCGCAGGGCCCTCCGCCACAGTCACGTTCTGGACAATGATCTGGTGGCCAGCACTTGCCTGGTTCACAATCTGCTGGACCACCTTCATGATGTGGCTGTCCACCTAAAAGAGGAAGAGAAAGAGGTAGGAAGGAAGGACATCAAGGGATTGCTGGATCTAGAATGGGTACCAAGGATGGCGCTTGTGATCTCTTCCAACATTATAAATATAGGTTGCTTACCTGTAACCGTATTTCTTCGAGTGTCAATCTGTGAAATTCGCACCTATGGGTTTTACCCCGCGCATGCACAGCATTTCGGATTATATTATAGTTTTAAATGATATTTTTAAGATGAAGGCAAGCCCCGCCCATCACCCCCCCTACCCCCGCTCAGTATATAAGCCAGCAGGCGTGGCCTCAGGTCAGTTCCCTAGCGGCAAGATGATGGCCAGGTAGAAGCATGACAAGCGGGGAGGATGGGCGGGTTGTGCGAATTTCACAGATTGACACTCGAAGAAATACGGTCACAGGTAAGCAACCTATATTTATTCGTCGTGTCATCTGTGAAATGCGCACCTATGGGTGAATAGCAAGTTAACTAACCTTGGAGGCGGGTCATGCCACACAAGAGAAAAGTACAGCTCTGCCGAAAGCGGCGTCTTTCTTTGCCAAAATGTTCAATTTGTAGTGGGATGCAAACGTGAAAGGGTTGGCCCACGTAGCTGCTTTGCAAATCTGGTCAAGAGGAACTCCTCGGAGAAAAGCCCGTGAGGTGGACACCGAGTGAGTCGAGTGAGCCCACAAGTGAGAAGGAGGTTGCTTGCCCGCTAGTTGGTATGCTAGGCATATTGCAGAGACAATCCATGAGGCGAGTCCCTAAGAGGACACAGGGAGGCCTAACGTGTCTTCTCTATATTTTAAAAAGAGCCGAGGAGATTTCCTGTATTCAGCCATCCTATGTATGTAGAAGGACAAGGCTCTTTTAACATCTAAAGAGTGGAGTGCCAATTCAAGTGGAGAGGAGGGGTTTGGGAAAAAGGAAGGTAAAACAATGTCCTGGGACATATTAAAACGGGAGACTACTTTCAGGAGGAAAGGGCCGCTAAATAACATTTAACAGAGGAGAGGGGAAAACCTTTGTTTGAAAGATGCACCAAGAAGTCAAGTACAATAGGAATAGGCGCATGGCTGGGGTCATGCCCAGCTGATTGAGTAAAGGACTTAAACAAGGCCCATTTGTAAGCATATGATTTTTAGGTAGCTGGTTTATGGGCCGCTAGGATAATACGGGAGGCCTCTGCGGAAATATCTAGTGAGGCTTGATCCTCCAGGCCGTGAGGTGCAGGGACTGGAGGTCTGGGTGGAGAACGAGCCCGTTCTCTACCGTGAGGAGATCTGGCGTGGGGTTGAGATGGAGAAAGTCTCCCTGGGAGAGGTGGAGGAGGGTGGCGAACCAGTGTTGTCGGGGCCACCATGGGGCAATGTGGAGGCAATCTGAGTTGTCTTGGATAATTTTTGCTATTACTGGAGAGAGGAGGGGAAGGGGGGGAAAGAGGTAGAGGAGGCCTGGGGACCACTGGAACAGGAAGGCATCTCCCGAGACAGCCTGAGGATGCATGAGCGTGAAGTCTTGCGCAGAACATGGGGCAGTGGGTGTTTGTTGGTGATGCAAACATGTCTATCTTGGGTTTGCCCCACCTTCGAGTGATGGTTTCGAACTCCCTGGGATGGAGTTGCCACTCGTGGTTGTTTTTCAATGTTCTGCTGAGGGAGTCAGCTAGTGTGTTGTCCTGGCCTGGTAGGTGGATGGCCATGAGGAGTACATTGTTTTGGATGCACCATTCCCAGATACGTATGGAGATGGGGAGTAAGGTTTGTGAGCGTGTCCCTCCTGTTTGTTGAGGTAGTACTTCACAGCTGTGTTGTCTGTGACAATTTGGATTGTGCGATTGGCTATGATGCGGGAGAAGGACCGGAGGGCTTTCTCTACCGCTATCAGTTCTAATGCATTGATGTGAAGTTTGCGTTCCAGGGGGGACCAGTGTCCGCTGACCTTGAAACCTTTGAGATGCGCTCCCCAGCCGGAGTTGGAGGCATCGGTCGTGAGGGACATAGAGGGGCGAGGTTGGTTGAAGGGCATTCCTTGACAGACATTGTGTTCCCTTGTCCACCATGACAGGGATTGGAGGACGAAGTTGGGTGGGTAGAGGACCCGGGATTGAGGGTCGGTGAGGGGGTTGAACGTTCTGATAAACCAATTCTGGAGAGGCCTCATTCGGAGGCGTGCAAATGGGGTGACATTTGTGGTCGAAGACATGTGGCCAAGGATGGATTGGATGGCCCAGGCAGACGCAGAGCGAGAATGTTGGAGTTTTGAGATGGCCGTTCGTAGGTTGGTGAAGCGGACCTCTGGGAGGAAGGCTTTTTGAGTAATGTAGTCTATGATGGCTCCTATGAAGTGGATGCGCTGTGTCGGAGTCAGTTGCGATTTTTCTCGATTTATCACCAGGCCCAGGGTCTGTAAAAGAGACAAAGTGTATTGAACATCAGTAGAGAGTTGAGACTGGGACGGAGCACACAGCATCCAGTCGGCCAGGTATGGAAAAACCGTAACGCCCTGTTGGCGTAGGTGGGCGGCTATCACTGACATACATTTCGTGAACACTCTAGGTGAGGTACATAGTCCAAACGGGAACACACTGAAACAGTAATAATTTTGCTGTATGGCAAAGCACAAAAATCTACGGTGGAATTGTCTAATTGATAAATGGAAATACGCATCTTTTAAATCAATAGTAGCTAGCCAGGAGTCCTTCAGGACAAAGGGGAGAATATTAGGTAGAGTAAGCATACGGAATTTACGTGTGATAATAAACTTATTGATTTTGCGGAGATCTAGGATGGGGCGAAGGCCACCGTCCTTCTTGTCCACCAGGAAATATCTAGAAAAAAAGCATGAGGGGGTTTCCTGGGGAGATAAAGAGGAGATGGCTCCTTTATGTAGGAGAGTACTGACTTTGTCCCAGATGGTGAGGGACGGGGGGGTAGGTATAGAATTCTATGGCGTAGCCCCTGTCAATGATGTCGAGAATCCAGGCATCTGTAGTGATAGATTGCCAGGCATGAAGGAATGCATTAAGTCTATTTAAGAACATGAGAGGTTCGGGGTTAGCCTGAGGCGGGGGGGGGGGGGGGGGGAGACAGGGGGAGTGCTAAAAACGGCGTTTGTTATTTGACATGGATCTGGTACCACGAAACTGACCTCTGGCTGGAAGAAGAGGTCTCCTGGTGGCTGGAAAGGACGAGTATGGGCGGTATCGCCCTCTGTAGAAGGGAGAGCTGTAAGGCCTGTTGTAGAATTGCGGGCAATGGTAGTATGGTTGCCATTGTTGACGTTGATAAGGGTATGGTTGTTGGTCATACTTATGCACGGTTTGTTTCATCTCATGGGAGTGTTTCAATTGGGAGTCTGTCTCTGGATTAAACAGTCCTGCCTCATCCATAGGGAAATCCTCTATCAGCGTGCGAGCTGATTGGGAAAGGATTGCTGCTCTGAGCCAGGCATGGCGGTGTAAGGCCACCAACCCCGCAATAAGTTTGCCAGAGGTGTCAGCGGTGTTTCTTGCCAGGTCTTTTTGTAACTTGGATAAGAGAAGGGCCTCTTGTTTAAGGGCCGTTGCCATAGGCTGGTCAGATGGGGGCAGCAATTCAAGGTAGGGAGATAACTTATTCCATAAAAAGGTTTGGTAAAGGCTCATGTAAACTCCATAATGAGCCATGCGAGCGAAAAGGCATGCTTGCTGAGGAGTAACATTTTCTGGCCAAGGTATCCAGCTTTTTCCCTTCTTTGTCAGAGGGAGAAGCTTGGTTCCTTTGAACAGGTTTAGGTTGAGCATCAGTCACCACAGAGTTTGCCTTAGGCATCTTAGACAACCATGAGGCAGAGGTAAGGTCAATACGGTATAAGTTTTCTGCTCTTTTGGGAGTTGCCGGCACAAGGGCTGGAGCAATCCCTGTATTTTTCAAAATTTTGAGAAGGTAAGGTAGGGTGGGTAGGATAGTAGCTGAAGGTGCCTGTTGCTCTGATGAGGTGAAGCACGGGTCTTGGACTGTGTCGGAGGCTTCAGGGGTGGCAAGATTCAAGGCTCTGGAGAGGTGAATAAGTAAGGCTGAGAACTTTTTAAAATCCTCCATTTGTTGAGAAGGATCTGTGTCAGGTTGTTGTTCAGGGTGTTCAGGTGTATCATCTGTAGACTCAAGGTCAATGGTTTCAGCATCTGGCAGGGGTATAGAAGGAGGGCCTTGAGGTTAGGGGTCTTCTTGAGGTAAAGGTGTAGCAGGAGGAGGGCAAGAGAGTGTGGCCGTAGGAGGCGCACGTGGGGGTTGAGGGTAGGAATGTTCGGGAGGGGGGGGGGGGATATACTCAGCAGGGTTATATGCCCTGAACTCCTCAGGATGGGGAGGATAGTAATACGGATAGATGGGGAAAGGAGGAGGATATGGTGAATAGTGGTAATCATGATAGCTTTGAGGCTGTTCATGGGGGGGGGGACGTGGGAGCGTTTGGAGTTTGAGGCAGGTTGGCTTGGGGAATGCTCAGGAGAGGGAGAGCGGTGCCAGCTGTGTGAGGCACATTGTGCTGCAGAAGAATGTAGCTGAGGGGTTTGTTGCGGTACTGGAGGGGGGGAGAGGCTTGGGAGGGGGAAAGAGGGGGGAGGAGAGACTGAGCGATCCATGATGGGTTCGCTATCTAGCTGCACATGGGGATCCAATAGCTCCAGTGGAGGAAGCTGCAGGGGCTCTTCCATATGGAGGAGGGTTGGAAGAGAGTCTTGCAATTGGAGCGTGGAACCGGCAGGGAGATTCATCGGTTCCAGAGAAGGAGGGCTCAAGGGCTGTGTGCCAGTGAGTTGCCGTCCCTTTTTTGTTTACTTTGTTTCTCTTTCGTTTTAGAGGGCCTCACAGTTTGTTTTGAAACTTTAGCTTTCTTTCTCGGCAGTTCCGCATGGGAGACCAGTGCCGAGGGAGGAGTTTGCCTTTCCCCCTCGCGGGGGGAGGAAGGCTCAGAAAGCTCCTGAATAGGGGAGGATTGAGCGGCAGAATTGGTGGCCACTTGGGGAGCCAATGCACGCTCGTATAGGAGCGCTTTGAGACGGGCTTCCCTGCCCTTATGTGCTCTCGTGGTAAAGGTAAGGCAAATTTCACAGGTTTGGGGGTTGTGGGATTCCCCCAAGCACAAGAGGCATTTAGAGTGTCTATCGGCCTCGGGGAGAGTTGCCCCGCAGGCCGAGCAATTTTTAAAATATAAAGAAAACATATCAAGCCTGTAAATGGGATAGCAGAAGCAGGTCAAAAACAGTCCGGGTCAGGGTTAGAGAAGGTCGGATGGTCGATGGTGGGGAAAAGAGTCAAGTCCAATGAGGCGAAGGAGAAATCCGAGGGATGCTACTAGCTTGGCATGGAAAAAGGAACTGACCTGAGGCCACGCCTGCTGGCTTATATACTGAGCGGGGGTAGGGGGGGTGATAGGCGGGGCTTGCCTTCATCTTAAAAATATCATTTAAAACTATAATATAATCCGAAATGCTGCACATGCGCGGGGTAAAACCCATAGGTGCGCATTTCACAGATGACACGACAAATAACTACTACTACTACACTACTACTACTACACTGGGAATGAAGATCGGCATAGTTAAAGCAATGGTATTCCTCGTGGTAACCTATGGATGCGAGAGCTGGACCATAACATAAGGCTGATAGATGCTTTTAAACTGTGGTGTTGGAGGAAAATTCTGAGAATGCCTTGGACCGCCAGAAGATCCAACCAGTCCATACTCCAGGAAATAAAGCTTGACTGCTCAATGGAGGGAAGGATATTAGAGGCAAAGATGAAGTACTTTGGCCACATAATGAGAAGACAGGAAAGCTTAGAGAAGACAATGATGCTGGGGAAAATGGAAGGAAAAAGGAAGAGGGGCGACCAAGGGCAAGATGGATGGATGGATGTTATCCTTGAAGTGACTGGTTTGACCTTGAAGGAGCCGGGGGTAGCGATGGCCGACAGTGAGCTCTGTCATAGTCTGGTCCATGAGGTTACAAAGAGTGAGAAATGACTGAACGAATAAACAACAAACTACTACTTTTACTATGAGGACATCAAGGGTTTGCCGAAGCCATAATTAGCACCAAGGGTGACCCTTATGATCTCTTCCAAATCTTTTATAATTCTTATTGTTCTTATTATGACATCAGAGGTTTGCCAAAACTAGAATTGGCATCAAGGACGACCCTTGTGGTCTCTTTCCAACACTATCATTATCACTATTATTATTAACCTTATTTCTACCCCTCCTTTCTCCCCATGGGGACTCAAGGCACTTCACAATAACATGAAATAACCCAATAATTAAAAAAAAAAGCAATTAAAAATAAGCTACTTATATCGTGGGTGAAAGTTAAAATACAATTAAGGTACAATAAAATTACCTTTAAAGCTAATATACTCCCCATGTGCCCCTCCTCCCCCTCCCCCTCCCCCCAGGTCCCATCTGGAAGGAAGAGTTGAATCCAGTGCAGGTTTTTGCCTTGGAGCGCATCTTAAGCATAAGTTTCTATGGGTCTGAGCCTGCTCTGCAAAATGGCAACAGCTTTTATTCAGCAAAAAGGTCTAGAAATACTCCCACCTCACAGGAAAAAAAAACAGTGGCAGTTACTGGAATTTCAGGAGTATCTGCAGTAGGGCAACCTACCTCGTGCCTCGTTCCTTCTATGATTTCAGTTGCTTCGCTGGTCTCCATGTCCTCGGTGGCCGTCTTTAAGAGAGAAAGAACCCCCATTCCCCCCCCAAGAGCAAAACGTTACATGGCAAGCAAACACCTTAGTCAACAGAAGCTGTTGAAGAACAACCCTACTTTATTCCCGCCACTCTCTTCATTGAAATGAAGGCAACAGGAGTGGTTTCTAGTGCATCAGTCAACCCAAGCAGAAGTACTGGGTTGTTGTAGGCTTTTGGGCTATATGGCCATGTTCTCGAAGCATTCCCTCCTGACGTTTCGCCTGCATTTATGGCAAGCATCCTCAGAGGTTGTGAGGTCACAACTTCTGAGGATGCTTGCCATAAATGCAGGCAAAACATCAGGAGGGAATGCTTCGAGAACATGACCATATCGCCTAAAAAACCTACAATAGCCCAGCGATTCCAGCCATGAAAGCCTTCGACAACAGCAGAAGTACTCCACACAAACACCATATATTCCGGCGTACAAGACAACTGGATGTATAAGACGACCTCCAACTTTTCAATTTAAAATATAGAGTTTTATAGAGTATCTAGAGCAGGGGTAGGGAACCTTTGGCCCTCCAGCTGTGGTGGACTTCAACTCCCACAATTCCTTGAGGCTCGGCATTCGCCCCAAAGGCTTACCTTGGCCCAATGCCGAGCCTCAAGGAATTATGGGAGTTGAAGTCCACCACAGCTGGAGGGCCAAAGGTTCCCTACCCCTGATCTAGAGGGATATACTTGTCATATAAGACAGTCCCTCTTGTCAGCCCCTCTAGGCTCCAAGGCCTCCTTTCCTAGGCCTTGAGGCAGCTTCATGGCTCCACAGAGGCGGCCTCCTCGCCACCAGCAGCCAGGCCCCACCGCGGCCCAGCCAACTACCACGCTCATCACTTCCTGTTTTGGGTTCAAAACAAGATAGAGGCTCCAAAGTACCAGGCGAGGGAGGCGGGCAGTTGCCCTCCCACTGGAGCAGGGCAGCTGAAGCAGCTTGGCTCCGGTGCCGCTTGGCTCAAGGCTTCCAGGCAGTTTCTCCTCCTCCATGGCAGCCGAGGTGGGCATGGCATGGAGGAGCCCCCCAGGATGGCTGAAGCCTAGCAGCATGAGCCAAGTGGTCCGGAGGGGCACAGCAACAGCAGCTGCTTGGGGCACCCTGCTCCAGCAGAAGGGCAGCTGCCCACCTCCCTCGCCTGGTATTTCGAAGCCTCTATTTTTATACCCAGTGTATAAGATGACCCTCTACTTCTGACAGGATTTTCCAGGGTTAAAATGTCATCTTATATGCCAGAAAATACAGTACCTTTGCAATGTATGGAACACTGGCATTCCACTTGTGCTCTGCCCTGCTCTGTTACACTACCTCAATGATGTACTCTTGGGTGTCAGCCACTACCGAAGAGAACTCTACCAAGACGGTGGGAGGGTCTTCCGAAATGACGGTAGCAGCCAAACGCTCTGTGGACTGGCCCTCCTCTGAGACCACGGCCTCCTCGGCTTCCTTCAAGGCAAGCAGGCAACCCCCTGGGCAAAGGCAGAGGAAGACACATGCAACTCAGAAGTTGTTCATGAACGGCAGAAAGAAACGGCTGGTTAAAAGAATTCTGCATTAAGGCATGCCAAATGTGTGGCAGAAATCAATGGCCGATATTAAACGCAAAGGCCAAGGATTGTACTAAGTAGGCGTTTGCATGTTTGTCTCACCTATGGTTCGGAGATGCCGGTTGAGGGTGCCGTGCTCCGCAAAGCCACGTCCACAGCGATAGCACTTGAAGGGCTTCTCTCCGGTGTGGTGGCGGATGTGGCGCACCAGGGAGCCCTTCTCCCGGAAGCCCTGGCTGCAGAACTGGCAGACGTAGGGCTTCTCCTCTAGGTGGGTCCGGAAGTGGACCTGCTGGGCATTCTGCCAAGAGATCAGGGAAGAAGTTACGTATTTATTTATTTACCCTATTTATATCCCACCTTTCTCACCCTGAATGGGACTTAAGGTGGCTTACATATAGGCGATTATTCAATGCCTTAAAACACATACAATTCCAGTAACATTAAAATTAAATTAAAATTAAGACATATTAAGCATTTAAAATGTTTAAAAACATTACATTCAATGTAATGGAGGGCCTCCTTAAAGCAAAGCTGCACACTTCTGAGGATGGGCTTTGCGAAAAGCCCTTCCATACTCTTATCTCAAACACCATTATTTGGCACTTCTTAACATGTTGAATTCTACAAAGGTTTCCCAAGGGCTGCCTTTAAACCATCTTCCTAGAGTGACATACCTGCTATTTTATAACCATTTATTTGCACTCTTAAATAATACTAAAATAATATTATTATTAAAAACCCGTTTCATTGTAGCTCCATCAGAAGAGGTTCAACAAAACTACTGGCCAGGGTTACAAATGGATGTGGCCAACTATAAAAGGGCATGGTATAGTGCAAACAGGAATTCATAGGGCCGGGGATGTGGATGAAGTGCAGGACAGAGCACTATCTGGGTACCTGGGAACTGGGCCAAGGGACTAATCATTCTCAAAAACTTGCTGGAATATCTAGGTTTTCAAATCCCTACAAAAGGAGGACAGTGTGGGGGCTCCCTCTCTGTAGGGAGGGAATTCCAAAGTCGAGGGGCCACCACCGAGAAGGCCCTCTCCTCTCATCCCCACCAACTGTGCTTGTGATGCTGGTGGAAGCGAGAGGAGGGCCTTCCCAGTACATCTTAGAGCCCGCACTGGTTTATGGGGGAGATGTGATCCCAAAGAAAGGCAGGGCCTGAACCGTTTAGGGCTTTGTAGGTCATAACCTGCACCTTGAATTGGGACTGGAAACTTATCAGCAGCCAGTGGAGCTGCTTTAATAGGGGTGTCACACATTCCCTATAATTAGCTCCAGTTAGAAGCCTGGCTGGTGACCTTTGTACCAACTAAAGTTTCCGGGTTGTCTTCAAAGGCAGCCCCACACAGAGTGCATTGCAATAATCCAATCTGGATGTAACCAAGGCATGGAACACCATGGCCAAGTCCAGCAAAAACAAATAATTTTTCCACATATTTACTCATACTATTTTGGTCTGATATGTATTCTTAGCCTTTCCATTTCTATAATTGTCTACTATTTATATCTATCAGTTTCCCCTTATTATTTATTCATTCATTCATTCATTTATTATTATTTTATTCAATTCTAAGGTGGACATTTTCCCCTATATATGTAAAACGTCTCTCAAAATTGAGTGCATCTTGGATGCACAGGTGTACATCTTATGTATTTTTGTTGTTTGTGGTGGAGATACTGAAAATAGATACTGAAAATTTTCAGAATGAGGTGTTATCTCTACACAGATGATGTCGAAATCTGTCACTCCTTCTCACCTGTCACCAAGGAGGCTGTCCAGACCTTGAACAGGTGCTTGGCTGCTGTGTCGGACTGGATGAGAGCTAACAAATTGAAATTGAATCCAGACAAGACAGAGGTCCTACTGGTCAGTCGTAAGGCCGAACAGGGCATAGGGTTACAGCCTGTGTTAGATGGGGTTACACTCCCACTGAAGATGCAGGTTTGCAGCTTGGGAGTGATCCTGGACTCATCGCTGAGCCTGGAACCCCAGGTCTCAGCGGTGGCCGGGAGAGCTTTTGCACAATTAAAACTTGTGCGCCAGCTGCGCCCGTACCTTGGGAAGTCGGATCTGGCCACAGTGGTCCACGCTCTTATTACATCCCGAATAGATTACTGTAACGCACTCTACGTGGGGTTGCCTTTGAAGACTGTTCGGAAACTTCAATTAGTCCAGCGGGCGGTAGCCAGATTAGTCACCAGAAGCATACAGGGAGCATACAGGCAGCATACCACCCCTCTGTTATGTCAGCTCAACTGGCTGCCGATCCAGTTCCGAGCACAATTCAAAGTGCTGGTCTTGACCTACAAAACCCTATATGGTTCCGGCCCAACGTATCTGTCCGAACGCATCTCCCTCTACGTCCCGCCTCGGAGTTTAAGATCTTCTGGGGAGGCCCTGCTCTTGGCCCCGCCTCTATCACAAGTGAGATTGGCGGGGACGAGGAGCAGGGCCTTCTCAGTGGTGGCTCCTCACCTGTGGAATTCACTCCCCGGGGAAATTAGGTCATCAACATCCCTCCTTTCCTTTAGAAGGAAATTAAAAACATGGATTTGGGACCAGGCGTTTGGGTAATCTGGCAGATAAATAAAGAACCACTACGACTGATAGGAATTGACAATGTGGAATGAATTTATGGATTCTGAGCTGGCGAACGTTGAGCATGAGATTGGCTTTATTGATGTGATATATAATTGATTGTTTTAACTGTTATAACTGTTGTAATTGCTGTTTATATATGTTTATTTGTACTATTGTGTAGGCATCAAATTGTGCCTTTTGTAAGCCGCCCTGAGCCCCCCCCCCCCCCTCGGGGGTTGAGAAGGGCGGGGTAGAAATACGCAAAATAAATAAATAAATAGGATGTGGCTTACAATCAAAGAAGTATGGTATTATTATCAGGGCATACACAGTCCCATAGTCTGCTCTGTTTTCATACTCTCAGTCTTGTAATAAGGTTAACAAGGTTATAAATAAAAAAACAGTCCCTTCTATATCACTGCACAGTTCAAAATGTGTATAATACAGTGGTGTATAATACATCAATTCCAGGGAACATTGCTGGGCTGTTCTGCAAAGAATCAACAGTATCCAAATAGCGGAAGACCTATCATATGGAAAGCCTGCTTGTGTGATAGGAAATTGAGGGCCTACCTTAGTCTTGAACCGCTTTCCACACTTGGCGCAGGGGTAGGGCCGCTCGTCCGAATGCACCCGTCGGTGGCCCTTGACATGGGCGATAGTCTTGTAGAGCTTGCCACACTCCCCACAGCGGAAGCGCCGCTGATTCACGTGCACCTCCTGGTGCTTCTTCAGCAGGTAGCCCTTGGTGAACTCTTTGCCACACTCCTCGCAGCTGAAAGGCTTGTAATCTGGAGGGAGAGAAGGGTGAAGGGGATGGAAACCCAGGATCCTTATCACCTTCTGAAGCAGAAGGAAGCCGCACTGCTGTGATGCCCTATTACGGCCCAGCAGAGAGCTGTCTCACCACTAAAAACACCAGGGTTGACCTTTGCACAGAGATGGAAAATCACCTGCAAAAACTACAATTTAAAATAGCTAGCAATACTCCTATCTATCTGTATAATAAAAGTCAAATACCCAGTTTGGGCATTGCTGGATACCTAAGCTAGTACTAAATAATAAGCAAGCCTATCTTCCATCCACTTGATAGAAACAACACACTTCAGCATTGCAAAATACAGGTGCCAGTATTGCCAAGATCGCATTCACTAAAGTCTGAAGCTGTCCATTTTACTATTCTCCATCTTCAGAGGCAACAGCCTGAATGAGGGGAAAAATACTGTTTTCATTACTTAATGAAGCCTTTCTGTAATAATGCAGATACAACTTGAGAAAACAAACTTGTTTTTAGGACAGTGATGCAGGGTGAGGCCTCACCTAGATGCCCGCTGATGTGGAGATCCAGGGAGCTGCGTTCCCTGAAGGTTTCACTGCAGTAGGGGCATGCATGGCCCTTGCCTTCCTCTGTCACATCTGCTTCTGGCTACAAAACGAAGAGGGAAAGTGTTAGGACAGAAGTGTAACAGCAAAGTGGATTTCAAGAGCAGTACAGAAAGCAGGCTGGGTTCGAATGTTATAAGCTGGAGCTGCCTTGGATGGCACTTACTGTTTTGGCCTCCTCAATCTCCACAAACTGCTCCCCGCAGAGCTTTCCTGAGGCTTCCTTGCCCTTTGGTTCCTCTGCAGCAGATGTAGCATCAACAGCATCTGAGTTGGCCCTCTCCTCCACGGAAACCCGTTCAATCACGATCCCAGAATTCCTCATGGCCTCCCTCAGCAAGTTCTCGTTCTCTTCGGTGTCGAGGGGCAGCTCCTCGGAGTTCGAAGTCTGCAGGAGCAACAGGCTGCCATTAGCAAAGCAGGATAGTCCTCTTCCCAAGTCCTCCATGTTTCATTGCTATTTCTCTAATGTTGGGAGGATAGCAGGAAGCAAGGGGAGATGTGTACAAGAAATTGAAGAAAGACAGGATCTAACTGGAACAGATATATTGTATTTTATATAAAAGTCAAAATACATATCTATGCATTTTCCAGGATGGCTCCCACATCCAGAGAACCATGTCAATCCCACTGATGATGAATCAGGACCAAACCTGGCACACAGATTCACCATGACTGATAGAAAATACTAGTGAGGTGGAACTGACCAGTGATTATGGGAATTGTAGTTTACCCCCATCCAGAGATTCATGCAAATCCCACCAATGCTGGATAGGGATCAAACATACCCATCCTGATCAACTTAAAACATTGCAAAGGTTTCAGGAGGGGTTGTAGCTATCCTCCACCTGTATCCACCCATATTTCTAATACGGCCATTCATAATGTGCAAAACAAAAAAAAATCGTATTACAAAATACCTTACCCAGGCATTGCTGGGTACCTGAGCTAGCCAGTAAATATAGAACCTCTTTTAAATTGTTGTCCTTTGCAAGCCTTGTTGATGTTTGCCCTTTGGTACTTTGTCTCTAGCAGAGCCTACAGAAATGTTTGCCCCAGGCAGAAGTCTTTTGGAGTGCATCTGCAGTGCTCACACACAACAGATTTCTTACTAACCTCTTGGCCCAAGGCTTTCGGGAGCTCCTGCATCCGGACATGGACTTCGTGGAGGACATTGCCCTTGGCGTCCGTCACCAGGTGGATGACAGGCGAAGGCTCTGCAGGGGGAGTGGGGAGCGAGGGGACAGCTTCGGTGGTGGGGCTCATGGGCTCTTCAAGGAAAAGGGGGAAACGTCAAGTAACTTCTGGCCCTGCAGCCCCTGAGACACATGCACAATCATCCTGCTGGAAGGACAAACAGGGCCACACTGCTCCCAACATAGCAAATGATCCTGCAGTCTGACCTCAATGGAATTCCTTTTCCTGTCACTTGAACTCATGGCTTCACTGAGGCCCAGTCTTCAGGACAGCACAAAGCAAACCTCCGCCCCCTTCCTTATGATGACCGTTCAAAAACTTAAAACATGGTTCTTATGTCTCATCTCAACCTTCTCTTCTTCAGGATAAAGGAACCCAGCTCTTTAAGCTGTTCTTCCTCAAAGGGTTTATTCATAGCTTCCAGGCCTTTGATCATTTTTATGGCCCTTTTCTGGCTGACTAAAAGTTATTCCACTTCTTACAGCATCTTGTTTGCGCTGAAAAGGGACGGCCAGTTCTGACTTCACCCGGAAAGGAGAGAGGAGATGCCTTTTTGCTCACCTGCGGCCAAGTCTTCTTTGCTGATGAGGATTTCCTTGTTGAGACTGAAGCGGATTTTCTCAGTACATGGAGTAAGGGACTTCTGGTGCCGCGTCAAGGCTCCTGACTCCCGGAAGCTCTTCCCACACTTCTTGCACTTGTAAGGGCGCTCATCTGAAGGGGGAAAGGCAGAGCTGGTAGGCCCAAGGATGAAGCCGAGCAGCCGGGAAACTCCTTTTAACTCATGAATGCGTCACTTGACACCTCTTTTTTCCCCAAAGCAATGCAGGTCCCTCACCTGTATGGCGGCGATGGTGCCGGATCAGTGAGCCTTTGGTCCGGAAGGAGGTCCCGCACAACTTGCACTCATAGTCCTTTCTGCTGCTGTGTGTGATCATGTGGGCCTTGAGGATGCTGGCCTACAGACAGCAAGAGGAGGCAAAGAGATGGTGAAACCGTCGTGCATAGAGTGTTCTCTTGCAGGGAATGTCAAAGCTAGATTGCAACACATGTGTTTTTATTTTTTAGACCCTTTGAGTCCCTTTGGGGAGGAAGGCCAGACAGAAATAGGCAACAGATAATAATATAAATAACTTTGAGTACTACTACTACTACCCACTCATCATGAGTTGCACAAGGAGAGGTATTACTTACAGCTAATGTAATGCAGTGCTATAGCATGGTATCATTGATCTATCTGACATAGCACGAGGAAGGGAATTAGGAAAAAGGAGGAGACCATGATGAAGGTGACTCCATCTAGAAAGTCATGGCTGCCATATAATGCAGTTTAACAGCATTGAACTGGATTACTGAATGCCTGTATAATAAAAATAAAGGGTGATGATGTATTTCTTCCATTCTAAGATGCTCCCCTATATAAACATCTCTAAAAATGGGCGAGTCTTAGAATCACAGGTGTATCTTCACGTATTTATGCTGTTGTTGGTACCAAAATGGGTGTGTCTTGCAATCGATGACATCTTACAATTGAAGAAATATGCTTATATGAGTCCACACTGCCATATAACCCAGGTCAGTGCAGCTAAAGGGCATTATATGGCAGTGCAGATGGGGCCTTAGTCTCAAGATGGAATAGGAGATCCCCCACTCAATCAATGCAAGCCAGGCATGGACAAACTTGAGCCCTCCCTCCAGGTGTTTTGGACTCCCACAATTCCTAACAACCTACCGACTGTTAGGAATTGTGGAAATCCAAAACACCCGGAAGAAGGGCCAAAGTTTGCCTGTGCCTGCCAGTGTAACCCAACACCTGACAGCCCTTGACAAGAAAACGGGCAAGCACTGCTGCGTACCGTCTTAAAGGTCTTATGGCAGAGCTCACACACATAACGGCCTTCCTTGTTGACCAAGAGCTTGACCTTGACAAGGTCCACAGAGCCTGGTCTGTCTTCTTCCTCCTCCTCGGGGCCCTTGGGGCTGCACTGTTCCTCTGCGAGGCCACTGCCATCAATGTGTCCGTTAGGGCTTTCGAAGACTTGGCTGTCGGCGACAATGACTTCCTTGATGACCCCGCCCTCTGCAGGGAAGATGCCAAGGGAATGACTGAACAAAAATGTTATTAATCCATAAAAGGAACTGACTGTCCTATCCTGGCGAGGAAAGCATAGACCCATTGCAAATACTGGATTGCATTGAGAAACACTAGGAAGTTGCTACACCCAACATCATCTCATTGTATTATATTCCATGACTCCATTACTATAATAAGCAATTTAATGAAATGCCCTCTGGATGTCCAAATATATAACTTCCAAGTCAGAGACACCCCAGATGTCTTTCTAGTAATTACTTCTTTAAGAGAAATTGGGGCACCAGAGGCAGAAAGAGCAAGTACCTTGATAGGTCTCCGCATCAAGGGAGGTGATCATATCAACTTGCAAAAATTGTTTGGACTTACCTACAATGGAAGATGCATTGCTGATTTCTTCTGTGATGGGAGAAGCTTCCACTACAATGTGAGCGATGGTTATGGGCTCTTCGACAGAGGAAATCACCTGAAACAAGAAAAGAAGTAAATACAACCCTATTAAATTTCCACTGTTTGAATTCATGTTTACAATGCTTTGCTATGTAGAGTCAAGATCTGAATGGCTTCATTCCAGAACTACTCCTCCCTCATCATCTTGACTTAAACCGTCATCAGTCCTACCACCTTCTTACCATTAATAAGCCAAAAAACTTACAGTGATTTCCCCTCCCCATTCATCCAGCTCTTACCCAAAATTATAATGATAATATTGTTGTGCTCTCCTCTCCACCCCACCCCTTTCCAGGATGAGCATCCATTTCCGGCCCTAGTAAACTTGCCGAGGTTGTTGTTACTGCTGTGTCTGCGGCATTTTGTTGCCTTTGGCAAAGCTTTTGCAGCTTGTGCTGCACAAATTCTTCCAAAGATGTGAATTCGGACCCACAGCGGCCGCACTTGTGCCGGTCATCTTCGTCTGCCGTCCAAAACAAAGAAAAGAAGCATTCCTTCAGTTTACTGAGTAATGGATGATTGCTGGGCATGTAGATATTTTGTTTGTGTTTGATGCTTTCAGCAGACAATGAAGCAAGTGTAGAGACGTTTAAAGATAAGTTTTGTTTACTGATAACTTCATGTACGGTATTTAAAGATACAGGCACATTTCTTGTCAAGGGTTAAAAACTTCAGCAACGTTTCAGAGTTTGTATCTTGAACTTATAATCTATAACGGTTTCTTCAAAAACCATGTTCTTTTATACAGCTCTCTTTAATAAGAGTTTATTTTCAAATAAAACACAAGTCTCAACAGTTTCTAACTTCCTAACATGAACTTCTGCACTCTGACAGACTTCTATACGATGCCGTATAGAAACTCATTTAAGGTTCAAGACATTTCTCTAACAGTTGTTCCTCAAATGACATTACAAAACAGACAAGCATCATATAGAGGAGGCCTGAGATGGTTGCTTCCTCGATCAGGTTTATTTCTGTTTACGTTGCTTATATGATGTTTTTTGTTGTATGTTTATGTTGTGTAATTTTGTTGTTTTATTTATATTATTTATATCACATATTTGTATCCCGTCCTTCTCACCCTGGAGAGGGACTCGGGGAGGCTTCATAACAAGCATTCAGTCCATGCCAACAACAGTAGTAAATGATAAAAGCAATTAAAACATAAAATTACTAAAATATTGTTTAAATCATGCAGGTTTGAAATCATAGTCCAGGTCAGTCCATTGCCATTCACACAAATTGGGTCTCATTCTAATGCTTGGTCCCGTAACCAGGTTTTGAGTTTTATTGTAAAGGACAAGAGGGAGAGGCCAATCTAATGTCACTGGGTAGAGAGTTCCACCACCAAGGCCCTGTCTCTTTTCTCCACCACTCGTTTTTGCGAGGATGGTGGGACTGAGAGCAGGGGCTCTTCTGTCAATCTTAGACTTTGCGATGGTTCATAGCAGGAGATACATTCAGACAGGGCTTTATAGGCTAAGGCCTGTACTTTTAACCATTGTACACCGTTTTGAATCCCACCCATGGGAGAAAAACGGGATATAAGTAAATAAATAAATATAAATAATTTTTCTGTTTCTGGCCCAGCTTACTTGTCTGAACGCATCTCCCTCTATGCCCCACCTTGCAGTTTAAGATCATCCAGGGAGACCCCGCCAGCGTCGCAAATACATCTGGCGGGGACGAGAGACAGGGCCTTCTTGGCTGAAGTCCCCACCTGTGGAACTCACTTCCCAACGAGGTAAGATCAGCTTCATCCCTTCTGTCTTTTAGGAAGAAATTGAAGTTGTGGGTCTGGGCCCAGGCTTTTGGACAGCAGGCATAAATAGCGCTTTGGATATGGAATTTGACTGGAATGGTGATGTGGATGTTAATACTATTTTTATTCTATTTATTGCTTTAATTGTTGTTATATTGCTTTGTTATATTTAATGGCATCAAATTGTACCAAATGTAAGCCGTCCTGATTCCCCATTCAGGGGTTGAAAAGGACGGGGTAGAAATGCTGGAAATAAATAAATTAATAAATAAATACATATTTTAAATAAATATAAAGTAAAGACATCGCAACGATCATATAATATAGAATATAATACAGTATCAGCATAGTATATTAGTATAAAATAATGTGATTATGTAAATCCATCACAATGATATCATATAGAATATAATATAGCATTATTATTATTATTAATAATAATAATAATAATAATAATAATAATAGATCAAGGGTTCAATCAGCCAATCGAGCACTGGACGTTTGCTGCTGCTGGAGGAGTCCTGCTTCCTTCCGCATCCCCTCCGTGCATGCGCTGAAAGGCCTCTGGTGCCGTCGTCTTCCGAGTAAAGCGCAGCCCAAGACAGATTACCGTATGGCACCGAAGAGCGGGGCACTCGCTTTTCTCAAGCGACGCGGCTTAGGGGGAGCGAGGCCCCTCCCTTCCCTCCCCGCCCAACTCCCGCTACCTTCTTCTCCCAAAGAGGCCCGGAGGCTGAGGAAGGCGGCGGCGTTGCTGTCCTGGCGCCTGGGCCCATCATCCCCCTCTGGTGCCGTAAGCGCCGCCGGCCCAACACTCGCTGCCGTCGCGGCCTCCATGTCGCAAGGCGCCGCAACCGCCAAGATGGCGGCTTTACGGCCGTGTCGTCATAACAACGGGCGATCGGATGGGCGGGGCTACTGGGCGGGGCCAAAGGGAGAGACCTCTTCCGTCTGCTCGCGTCCCAAGGCGAAGGTGGGCCCCAGCTGCTCCCTGTGGCCAATAGGTACGCGAGAAATGGTGACAGCCCGGCCAATCGGACCCCGGATAGGAATCACCCAATCGGGGAAGCCCTCGTTTGGCCCTGCTCAATGGGCGGCGCAGGGCGAGACGGAAGCCTTAAGTTGTGACTGGGGAAACCTCCTGTCCAATGGGGCCTTCAGGGGAGGGTTATCTAAACCAACCAGCGATGGAAACCCTGAGGCAAACTGAATCTTAAATTTGAGCTAGGAAAGAGAGGCGGGTCTTGAAAATTCTCACCCAATGGGGGCATTCTGGGGGCGGGCTCTTTTTGGCCTTTAACCAACCGCCGTCGTCGGAACCTCTGAGGCGAACTGAAGGCAAACCTAAAGGCATTTGCGAAACCTTTCGCCCAATGGGGGCACTCGAGGGGCGGGATTAAGAGGCGTCTCAGCCAACCGGCGTCGTCAAAAGCCCTGAGGAGAATTGAAGGCACATGAGAGAGAGCTAAGGAAGGGAGGGGAGGTCTTGAAGCTTCTCAGACCCAAGGAAGGGAAGTCTTGAAGCTTCCCACCCAATGGAGAAGCTCGGGGGGCGGGTTCTCGCGGGGACTTTAACCAACCGGTGTCGTCGGACACTCTGAGGAAAACTGAAGGCAATCTTAAGGTCATTTGCGAAAACTCTCGCCCAATGGGGGCGCTCGGGGGGCGGGGCCAGGAGGCGCCTCAGCCAACCGCCGTCGCGGGCTCCTTCTGAGGCGCTTTCTTCCATCATGGCGGCAGCGGCGGGAGGAGGAGGAGGAGGGAAGCGGTGCCGGCGCTTGGACCCGTCCCTGGCGCCTTCGGTGCTCTCGGGGGCGGAGGCGGTGCTCTTCGACTGCGACGGGGTGCTGTGGCGGGGCGACACCGCCATCCCCGGAGCCGCGGAGACGCTGCGCCGCTTGGAGGGGGAGAGCAACAACAAGAAGCGGCGCCTGCTCTGCTACGTGACTAACAACTCCTCCCGGACGCGCGAGGCCTACACGGAGAAGCTGCGGCGGCTGGGCTTCCCTCGGGCGGAGGCCCGGCAGGTCTTCGGCTCCGGCTTCTGCGCCGCCCGCTTCCTCCGCGCGGCCCTGCCTCCCGGGGGAGCCTCCTCCGCGTACGTGCTGGGCGGGCCCGCCTTGGGGGCCGAGCTGGAGGCCGCCGGCGTGCCCCATTTGGGAGCCGGGCCCACGCCGGAGCCGCTGTCCTCGCCCTCCGAGTCCCCCGCGGTGCTCTTCGGGACCCGCGCCGCGCTGGACCCCTCCGTGGGCGCCGTCCTGGTCGGCTACGACGAGCACTTCTCCTACGGGAAGCTCTGCCTGGCCCTGCGCTACCTCCGCCGCGACCCGCAGTGCCTCCTGGTCGGCACCAACCGCGACCACCGGCTCCCCCTCGAAGGAGGCAGCGCCCTGCCCGGTACGTGGAGCGGGTCACGCACGGAGCATGCGCAGACAGAGCGGGAGAGAGGCGGGCACACACACACAAATCTTCTATCTATCTATCTATCTATAGTGTCCTTTGCTTTTGGAGTTGTAGTTCATCTACATCCAGAGATCACTCTGAACTCAAACAATGATGGATCTGGACCAAACTCTACACGAATACTCAATATGCCCAAATGTGAACACTGGTGGAGTTTGGGGAAAATAGAATCTTGACATTTGGGAGTTGTATTTGCTGGGATTTATAGCTCACCTACAGTCACAGAGCATTCTGAACCCCACCAATGACAGAATTGGCCCAAACCTCCCACACAGAACCCCTATGACCACCAGAGTGGGCCACAGCAACACGTAGCAGGGGACGGCTAGTTTATTATATTTATTGACTTGCATACAAATTCAACTTAAGAACAAATCTCCAAAATCTTGTTCATAACTTGGGGGCTGCCTTTGTGTGTGTGTGTATATATATATATATATACATACACAAAGCCTCTGTGATTCCAGAAGCCCCCTAGACTTAAAGACGTTTCCACTACTTATAAATGCAATAGTTTGCATCCCTCCGTCTCACAGAACTACATAGAACCAAGGGAACTTGTATAAACTGGAGGTCAGTTGCGCCATAAAATTTCCAGCGCATCCTTACCATAATGGCACAAATCAACGGAATGGAAAAAAGCTTCTATGTCTAAAGGATTTGGCAGGGTCTGTAAGGGGGTTCTAAGTTTGCCTAAGGTCCACATTTATTTCTCAGAGCATGGCTTGATGGTTGCTTACTTTTTCTTCTTCCTGCAGGCACTGGCTGCCTTGTCAAAGCAGTGGAGACAGCAGCGGAGCGGGAGGCCTTCATCGTGGGCAAACCCAGCCGCTACATCTTTGAGTGCGTGGTGAAAGAGTTCAACATCAACCCAACTCGCACTATCATGGTGGGCGATCGCCTGGACACAGACATCCTCATGGGTAACAACTGCGGCCTGACGACTCTGCTGACCCTCACGGGGGTCAGCACACTGGAAGAAGTCCAGGGCCACTTAGAAAGTGACTGCCCTGAGCGCAGAAGCCTAGTCCCTGATTACTATGTTGATAGCATAGCTGACCTTCTTCCTGCCCTCCAGGATTAGAAAAGGGAGGTTTCCCAGCTTTTGAAAGGTCTTTCCCCCTCCACCCTTGAGGCTGGTTGTGTCACCTCAGTTTGCACAGAGCTGCTCCTTGCACCTTAAGATGCTTCTTGTGCATACATTTTAATTGGGATTATCTGTTTACAAATTCCTTGTAAGAATGCACTTTGAATCAAAAAGGGAAGTGTGTTGTGTCAGTCAGTTTTCAGGTGTTGTGAAAGAATCCAGTATGTCTTAAAGGTTTTTGCAGTGCTCCAGTGTCAGGGAAGAGTCTTGCCCCACTAATTTGAAGAGTGTTGGGTAGGCTACTGTTAAACATTGCACTGTGGTTTCTTTCTTTTTAGTCTTGGGAAATTCAGGGAAACGAATAGTTTGAGGGCACTTGTCCTTGCCTGATCCTTACAGCTTAACTTTAAGCTTGGTTTTAATGCTTATTCAGGTCGCAGCTCTCGATGACCTGATCCTGAGGTGATGTCAGGAAAAAGGAAACCCTTTATTTGTCAGGTGGTCTTGTTGTCGCCCTCTCCTCACTCTGCCATTTGCACTTGCGTAATATGCAAAATGTGGATGATTCTAATGTGTTTTGTGTATGCCCCTGTGAAAATGGGTAAATATATGTAGTGACAGAAAGAGCTTCAGATGTCTATTTTAAAAGCGAGATGTCTATTTTAAAAGTGAATATAATATATTGAAAATGTAGTTGTATTAGTCAAAAGGGATATAACTGATTATTTCTAATATATCTTCCTCACATTCTTTTGCACATACCAAAGTATCATTAGAACAATCTGCAGGGCTTAACACCCTTTTAGGGAAGAATATCTGAAGTTTACTTGATGATTTCTAAACCGTAGTTGTGTCTGAATTATTTGCTAAATGGTGAAACAAAAGCCCTCACCCTTCCCTCCATGCTTCACTGATGCTGGTATATCGTGGCTGAAAGAGTAGATGACTTTATATAAGGGGCACCTTCAGGGAGAGTCCTCTAGTGTAAACAGGTGCTCAAAAGCCATATTGGAGTCAGTACTCATGAAGCAGCAACAGTATCAAGTCCAGGGTTTCCTGCTAATGTATTATTTCTGTGTTGGTGGAAGACACAAGAAAAATTCCTTGTATATCTCTTCTGGTAAAAATTGACATTTGCTATTCTGCTTTGTAGGTTTTCAATTAATATGATGAACTGCATTTTTTCAGGTGCCCAGCTGCACTAAATACCAGTCTTCAGTTTTGCTCTGGTTGCTCTGGGTGTCAATGCCAAATACCTTAGCACTGTAGATGTAAGGTTTCAAAGCAGAAAATGTCATGCTTAGCAACCAAGAGAAGACACTTAGCAGTACTTTGTTTTGTAGGACTAGCCCAGATCACTTTGACCTTGTGAGCAGGTGGCACTTCCTGTACTGAAGACACTTGAAACATGTTTGAGCTTGCTACTGTTTCATAAAGCAATAATTGTATGGTATTGGCATCTGCTAGGAGGTACTAAAGATGCATAGTGATTCCACTCTGTCCTTGTAATTTCTCTCCCAACTTCTTTTTTTTTTTTTTTAGTTTACCAAACTTGTTTGTAACCCTAAATGCTGTTCTCTGCTTTCAGTAATGGAAACTGTTTATTTCTGTTGTGGACCTTTTCCTGTGCAATTCTGGGAGTATCAAGGAATGTGTCATTGATTATGAATGTTTTGACCCTCTCAGTGACTCAGGCCTGCTTGCACACAGCGGAATTGTCATCTCTCTAATGTTCTGTGCCCTTGTTGTGAAACTGTATTATGGTGAATGACCACACAGTCACTGTTATGGCATTAAGGAACGCCAGTCTTATACTTCAGTCATATTAAACAGAAGTGTCACTGGTTTTCTGTGTTTGTCATTTTTTTCATTTTATGCCTCAGGAATTTTACAAGTTGCATTGCAAAATTGTATGGTGGGATTGCTAGTGTAGGATTACTGAGAACTGTAATTTGGGGAGACAAAAATAGTCAGGACAAACAAATAATCCGAATTCTTCCACTTTCCAGGTTCCTTTAGTGAAATATTTTATTAGAAAAAACACTTCAGTAAAATACACAATGTGGTATAACTGCTATATTTAAACAACTTCAGTGGCTTTTGTTGTCAGAGTGTTGTTATGCTGGATGAGTTAGTAGCCCTGCATTGTTTAATGAGTGATGGTGGTGAAAAGACCAAAAACTTCAGGCAAATCACAAACGAGTAGGGGATATATTATATTTGCAGAGATATCTGTACTTAAACTTGTTGCGTGCTTTTGAAAACTTCAGCTCTTCAAACACGCTGATGCCTTCCTTAAAACAACTAGCCATTCTAAAGAGCTAACTGTTCATTTCCAATTATGAAACTGACACTGTTTTTCTCTTTCTTGTTGAGGGGCATGAAAAGGGAAGTTGAGCCACAGCAGAGCTAAAGCAGAATGGGTTTCTTTCTTGCTGGGTCTCTGCCAGGAGGAAATGAGCCCAGGTTTAACCTTTGAGGCATGAAGCACACAGTATGCTCACTTGAATTCTAAAGTCTGGGAATGTGGCATAAAAGCATTCTTCTCTCTCTTGCCTCCCCTGCCCCCCTCTTTTTCTTCTCCCTTTCTCTAATGGGTCTCAAGGAGGCACTGTGATCTTTTGCCAGACAAAATAGCTTAGAATCAAAAGATGGCAGGTGCACTTCAAGCATAGAAGGGAATTCATGTTGACAAGCTGACATCTTTGTCTTGCCCCATATCTTGGGAAAAAGCATAATTCAGAAATTCCTTTGGGTCATTTCAAATACCATGGCAGCCTTACATCAGGCATATTTTAATGGTATGTGAAAGACATCACCACAGCTTTCCGGTTTCTTCTGAAGGCTTTCTGCTCCGTAGCTACATTTTTACTACTCTTCTTCAGTGTGGTTACAAGTTTCTGGTGAAAACATCCAGATTTTAAATGACTGTCCTATTCAACTGACCAAAGTGACACAGCTCCTTGCATTGGATTTTCTTTTTAAAAGCAAACCTATCAGTATTGTTCATCCATTTTAATTGCCAGAGAGTAGATAGCACTTGATTTCCCTCTCTGACTTTGCTTTGGCATTCTTATATGAAGTGGATTTGACAGTGTCCAGCAGAAATCATATTAATGAGACTGTTGAGCCTGGAGCTTTCACAATATTGATGGGCACTGAGCAAATATAGGTTCTGTGGGATGGGCTTTTTCATTTTGTAAATCCATCTCTTATCCTTCTATTAGTCTGGGGAGAGAAAGGAAGAAATAAATTCATTTTCACAAACTTTTGAGCTGGAGCTTGGCTCCTCAGAAATGACAGCTAACTATATTGATAGCTTGTAATGTGAAACATTTATATATAGGTTTGGATAACCCATTCACCTTGACGTTACTATTTATTTGAGAGAGCTGTAGTCTCATGTAGTGAAAAAACACTAGAAATTTCAGTCCCTACTTTGGAAGCAAGACCAATAAATGATATTGGAGTGAATATTCCTGTAACGGTTGCTAACATCTCACCTGACCAGAGGGTTGGGGGCAAGCTACTCTTTCTTGTTCTGCATCTATGGGGGGTATTTAGGGTGTGTGCCAGCAGGCTAAGGCCCTGCACAAAGCCCCTGATTGTGTTCCTCATGAATGCTCAGTCTGTCTGGAAAGGAAGGGCAAGGAACCCATCGTTGTGCCCAAGACAGCATCTCTCTGCAGCCCCGCTTCCCTCCCACTGCTGTGGGGATCTAGAATTTCACTTCCACGTGTCTCTCCCCAAACTGAGGTGCCAAGGTGCGCTTCTTTTACCTGGCCTTTGTGGGAAGATTCTCATGTTTCCAGCCAGATTCGGAGGGCTCTGATGATGCACAACTCCTGCATTGTCAGAAGACAGAGTTGGAGGAGTCAGGGCTGCAGCGGGAATGGAGGAGCAGGCCGGGGCCCCCACCACCCCTTCACCAGTAAGTACTTTGCTCTTCCCCCCTCTCCCAAAAAAACCCCTCCTGGCACCTGGAAAGTGTTTTTACTTTGGTCCTCCCCGTTCCTTTATCTCCCACCTTTTTGTTTAAAGGAATCAAATGATACACAGAGTTTGAGTCAAACTTCCTCAAGGGTTGCTTCTTATTCCATATGAGACAGATGCATCTTGCATTTCACATTTCAGGAAACAAAATATTCTGGGCTTTCCTGCAAGAGGCAGCTGAAAATGGGAACTTGATATGAGTGATAACACTGTAGAGTATCTGATCAAATTCATACAAGATTTTGTGTTCCTGAAGGCTAAAATTGCCAGGATTAAAGAGGAGGTTTTGCTTTTCTTTTACAGTCTAGGGAGCTTGGACATGTTCTAGGAAACCAATGAATCACTCAATCACTTTATTTATATCCCAAGAGAGGGACTCAAGGGGACAGACATCTAAAACCTATTATTTGATCCTGGTATTGAACTAGTAGATTAGGCATAGACGTTTTGAAACGTGAATTCACAAAGCAGAGGATCTCTCATTGTACTTGTGTGGGATGCTGCCAAGAGTAACATTCTTAGTATGATGTTTGTGTTTCTCTAATGGATGGGTTTTACCTTGGTTCACAGGAGAGGGTTTCCCCAACAGAATCCAAAGCCCCTTCCAGAATATTCTGGTTCATTCTTTCTGTCATTCTGGTCTGTGGATTGGTCTGCATCACTGTGGCAGCAGCTCTCAGCTTGACCCAAACTTCGCTCAAGGTAAGACTTCGGCTTCATTACTGACTTCATCTCACTGTTATGTCTGTTACCACTTTCAGCTTCTCTATTAATTGTAGCAGTAAGAATTTATATACCTCCCTAGGAATAAGTCCCTGAGTAATTATGAGTTATTGGAGACCCAGAGCAGATCTGGAAGGATGTGTCAAGTCCCCACCCCCCACCCCCCAATTGCCTAACAATAATATACAATCCAATTAGAAATCCTTAACTGAATTAAATGGCACTTGTGTGCAGCCAAGTGTGACTTCCTCCCCTTCACGACCATATTTCTGTATTTGTATTTCTGTTATTTTTGTGCCCTGCCATTCATTTGTAAATCTGCCCTAGTTCTTAGGCAGGGATAGCAGGATTAATTGTTGATCTCTGTTTAGCAGTAGCTCAGCAGAAGGGTTACAATTTTCTGGCTTCCATTTGCTTAGCCGATAAACAGCATATCTCTCCAGCTTATCTTCACGACTGTATCTCCCCCAATGAACCGGAGCAAGCTCTAAGATCTACCAGAGAGGCTCTTCTCTCACTCCCACTGCCGAGAGGAGGGGACAAGAGAGAGAGCCTTCTTGGTATTGTACCCCGGCTCTGGAACTCCCTCCCCAGGCCCTATAGTCTGCATTTTGCAAAAGTGATTGCCCTGCCCTCAAATCCGATCATGCCCACTATTTCCTGTTACTTGTTGATGTCTGTTGATGTGTTTTTATAATGTTTTTACTCTTCTGTAAAAACATTAATTGTTTTAATTATATTGTATATATGTTATTGTTTTAGCTTATAATTCTTGTTTATGCTGGGCTAGGTCCCTGTGTAAGCCTCTCGGAGTCCCTTTGGGGAGATGGTGGTGGGATATAAAAATAAAGTTATTATTGTTGTTGCTGTATCATCATCATCTTCACAGCCCCTTGTGCAGGTGGTCCGGCTAAACTTTCAGAACCAACCTGGGTCCCAGATGAACCAGTCAGCCATCATCAACAAGTCCAAGGATACAGTGACTTACTGTGTGACTTCCCCAAGCAACCAGACTTCAATGGTCTTGTTTGACCGCAAGAATGTGAGTCTCTTGGTTGAAGTTCCCCTTAACATTCATAAAGTGACATGTATGTGTTGTATCAAGCAGAAACCTTTTAGAAAACAATATATATAAAGTATACTTTTGTGGTCTCCAAGGGTAGTGACCATAAATTGGATATAATAGAAAAACATTTGTTTTTTTCTTTATAGCGAATTACAGAATAGGTCTGGAATGCACAGGAATTTATATTTTTGGGAATACATTTCAAGAGCAATATGTTTATGTATTTCTTAATAAAATATTGATATCCTACCTTCTGTCTAAATAACCTGAGGTCAGCATAAAATAAACTAATGAAATGTAACATAAAAATAAGAGGGATATTTAAAAGTGTCCACAAATGAACAAAGCTACTTTTAACAGTGTATCGGAAAAGTTTGCTCATTGCATTTTTGTTATTTATTTGTTTATTTGTTTCCCTCCTTTCTCCCTGTTATATGGGGTCTTGAGACAGCTAACAGTAAATATAAAACAATCCAAAGACAAAAAAATAGAATAAAAATTCAAGGCATTTTTTACAAGCATCCTGACATTTCCTAGGTTTGTGCCAAACCTCTTGCCGTAATTGTTAGAATGTTAAAAAATTGCATTTAAATTGAAAGCTTCTGTCAAAATGCCTTTTAAAAGCAAAATTTGGAAGTATAGAAAATATTACTCATTGTTTTAGAATGTTGGCTCTATCAGAAGATAAGACTTGAAAAGGCAAGAAAATAGAAGGAAAAGAGGAGTTCTTCATTGCAAATGGAGAGATTCAATGAAAGAGTTTGCCTGGATTTGTAAGACCTGAACCAAGGGTGACTTGGACACCTCTCATTCATAGAGTTGCCTTAAGTTGAAGCTTTCAAAAACAAAAAGCCAAGAGAGCCCTATGCTTATTTCATAGTGAGTGGCGGAATACCTTTATTTAACTCTCAGCCCATGAAATCCCCAGTCCACCATTGTTTCTCTCCTCAGAGCTACGTCTGCTACAAGCCCATGGGGCAACGCAGCTGCTACCTGCGGATGATGGATGCCTGGGACCGAGAGACTGTGCAGATGTCCTTCAACCTGTCCGAGCACAGGGTAAGCAGCCCTGGGCCACTAAGCCTGCTCGAATCCTCTTTCCTTCAGAGGAAGAGTCATTGTTTGTGGAGGGAGGAGGGAAGGTACATTTAAAGGGACAGGGTATATGCTACAGGTAAACCTCCATTGAAGAAGCCCTCCCAAGAAAGTCCTACACTAGGATCACCATAATTTTGGGCCAGTTTAAAGACATGCTGTAGCAATAAACTTGTTACAAGCAGCATGTCATTCAAAAAGCCTTGCATATCAATTTACTCGCTTTTCTGATGGTTTTATAGCTTGAGTGTTGGACAGGCTCTCTCAGCCATGGAAATCTATTGCATGATCCCTGGTAATGTCTCCACTTCAGGGGGAGGCAACAGCAGGCTCCCTCTGAACAAAATCTTAGCTTCACCTGGGTGTCACCATAAGCTGGGCATGACTTGAAGGCACACAACCATGTTTGGGCTGAAGATTAAGGCCTGGTTTGCTTTCCAGTCTGATGGCTCAGGCCCAAACACATCTCTCTTTGGAATGTTGACAAGATTTATCTGTAACCTGTGACTGAGACTAGTAGGTATTAGCCAGGGCTGCTAAATATAACCTCTCTGTGTGGGCAGAGGCCATATATCTCTGGAGAACAGGTGTTGCTTCCTCATAATGGAAGAAAGGCCATCCCTGTTGTCACGCTCTCATTCTGGGAGGAAAAAATGCTTTAATCCAGCCAGGAATTTCTTCAGAGTTATCTTCCTGCCACATCAAGTGGTGTTTGGCATTCACAGAGAGGCAGCAGACATTTCAAACACAAGGAAGCTCTATTAACCTTTTGGAGCTCTGCATGGTAGGGACAGGGGAGTGTTATAGGGCCCTTCAAATGTTCTTGGAATTCAAGTTTCCAGCAGCCCTAACCAAAACAGCCCATTGCAAATAATGCTAGGAGTTATTGTCCAACATCTGGAGGGCTACATGCTTCCTATCCCTAATGTAGCCTCTTAGGACCAATTTCCGCCTAGAGCTTTATCTAAAACCCTATTACATTTGGGGCTATCCACACCAAATGGTTACACCACTTTGGTACCACTTTAACTGTCAAGGTTCTGTCCTATGGAGTCCTGAGATTTGTAGTTTGCTGTGGAATATGTAAAACCATATCTCAGACAGTTCCCCTGAACTGTACCAAAAATGATCATTCGGTGGGGATTTTTAAGTACCTCTCCCCAAGTTATAAATCCCAGGATTCCATAGGAAAGGAGCTTAAAGTGTTATAAAGGTGGTATAAATGTGCAATGTAGACAGATCCTTGGGGATACCATACAGATTGGAGACTAGAGCACTAAAAAAAACCTGCTTATTCCTAGCTGTGGTTACATAAGGAGAATCTTTGTGCAATTGTGCTGCTCAGTGCACTACTTTACAGTGCCATGTTCCCTCTCTGCCTGGGATATTATGTGGTTGGCCAAGGCAGGTGAGTTTCTCCTTTCCCTTTTACCTGAAGAAATGTCAGAAGATGTAAAGGCCAGAGCTCAGAGAGGGAGAGAAAGTGCTCTGGCTGGCGTATGGCAGCATGCAAACAAAGATGCTTTTGTCAGCTGCCGAGTTTCTGAGTAATGATGTATAACAGCCCTTGAAACAAAACATTTAAGGCCTCTTCCGTTAAGGGTGAAAGTGGAGGTTTGATTTCGGGAAAAAGAAAAGGCCCTGTTTGCCAGGAATGTTTGCACAAGCCCCCTGGGAGGGAACACAAGGGCAGTTTGGCTGAACCGCTTCCGATTCCATTTGGATCAAAACTCTGCCAGTACTTGCAAGAAGGTAAATCAGAGGAAATGCAAGACACCCATGATCTTGCTGCCTCCCTAACTCTTTCTCGACTTACAGATCTCCAGTGAAGTGGATGGGCTGTCTGTGGCTTGGAGAAACATCTTCAGAAATAATGCTGTAGCTTCATTGACTTTCTTATAGTTTAAGAATTCTAGAAGTGGTCATCTTGGAGCAACATGCAGCCTGCTATCAGTTCTTCCCCATCCTTGTTCTTTGCCATCAACTCAGCTTCCACTTGTACGGGTCCTATGAGAGAGAGCCCTGTTCTTATGGTTGTGTGCCTTCGACATATGGCGACCCTAAGGCAAACCTATCAGAGGAAGGAGGGAAGATCCAAACTCAAGACCTGGAAAGAAGGAAGGAGAAATCAGTCCCAAATAGCTCTGTGACTTATGCGAGGAACACAAAGATACCAATTTTGCCACCCAAAAAATTGGGGTGTGACTATTATGCGGTGGTGACTATTATGCAGTGAAATGCAGTAATGATTGCCATGGGGTAAGCTAAGGAGTGCAAGGGCACAAGGCTTTTGTGCCATCGCAAAAGGACCATGTTGCCTTTCTTTCTCGTTTCCAGGTGGACCAGGTGCCCTTTCCCAGCGGGAGGACCCAGTACTACCGGGAGTTCCTGGAGATCGTGCCAGGGAGGCCAGTGCGACTGGGGGAGGCTGGGGAGGCTGTCCGGGCCCTATGTGAGCAGGCCCCCATCTACTGGGTAAAGAGAAAAGAGGGTGAGTCGGCTGGAGGCCATCTTGGGGCATGAGGAAGCAAACAGTTGGTGGGACCAAAGGGCTGCGTAGAAGAAAGCCAAGACCTTAGTTCAATACAGCTCTTGTGCCAGCAAATGACATTTCTAGGGGCTGCTTTTAACCTGGTGATACAACAGTTTTCCTACTGCAACTGTCCTTTGGGAGATTTTTCCATCCACTAGGGTGAAATTAGATTTAGACACTAAATTTGGAGTTCAGTTGTCAGCAGCAGTAGTCAGTAGTCAGAAGCCTGCCTCTTCTGCCTAACCTGCACCTGTTGTGGGGGAATAACTGCAACACAAACCCCTTTATATTGTGCAGATGCTACAGAAGGACCTGAAAACTCCTCAGATGTTAATCCACTCCCTTTAAGACAGGCTTGGCCAAACTTCATCCCTCCAGGTGTTTTGGACTTCAACTCCCACAATTCTTAACCATCGGTAGGCTGTTGGGAATTGGGGGAGTTGAAGTCCAAAACATCTAGAAGACCAAAGTTTACCCATGCCTGCTTTAAGAGCTTCCAGATGCACACACATTGTCTCATAGACCTCCACAGAAACAACACAGCTCCTTGTCAAACTGGTGAGAAACCCAGAAGAATATTGGAATGGTTTTTATTGTGAGTTCACTATTGTAATAATTTAAGAAACTCGGTAATATAGTAAACTAGGCCTCCTGCCTCTTAGAATCTGTTATAGCATTATAAATGTACAACTACAATCCAAAAGAGCTTTTTGAAATTAAGAGAAAATCAGCAAATGGGGATTGTTCTGCTTCAGAGCCTGCTGATACGGGGTCTTACTCTCTGCCAGGTGCTCAGCTCAAAGCTGCTTCCCAAAAAAGGACCTCTCCCACACTTGTGCTCCTGTTCCCTTCCTTGCAGGCCCTCCCAAGCAACGGCTGATCTACCTGTGTATCGACATCTGCTTCCCAAGCAACATCTGTGTCTCCATCTGTTTCTACTACCTGCCTGAGTGACCCTCCCAGGAGTCTGGCCTCCCTCTTTGCCCCTGCTCTTCTACACTTGAAAAAAAACCCCTCTCTGCCTATTTTATGATCCAGTATGGGCTTGAACCGGAAGAGCAATGGCACACAGAAACAGCTGTGCTGTATTGCAGTCTTTATCAGTATACATTTACAAAGAAGTGTTGCCTTCCACTTGTAACCTGTAAATAACCATTTTTGTCTAGAAGTAGCTGCACTGATGGGGTAGAAAAGGCGCTCTTAAGCCTGCGTCATACGTGCCTTACCATGTAAAATGAAATCTTGTGGGTTTTTAAAAACATTTTGTACACAATTATGTAATGAAGTAAAAAGCACAAAACGAGGAAATGAGCCCATGCAGCTATTGTGTTACCAGGAAAAGTGAGAAATCAACAGTTCCTTCCTTCATTTGCAAATATCTGGGTGTGTTTCAGGAAAGCCGAGATGTTTCTAAAGAAAAAGCAGCTCTATTCAGTCAGTCAGTATGAGGAGAACAACACAGTTGGAAAGTGAATAGTGGAACCATCTATACGCAATGGGAAATGCTGATGTTTTTCATGGTTCTGGACTGTATGGTGAGATTACATGAGAAGTGATATCTTTCTTTACCGTAAAGAGAGCAATAATGGAAAGGGATGATTCTAGCCTGCTTCCACTCCTTATCATGAACCTTGAATAAGGCTATTGGCTCTTCAGCCTGTCTTTAAGCATCATGTGAGCCCTATTCTTTGGTAGACTGGTTCAACATGCAGCCAATTCTATGGGACACCATAATCATATATGCAATTTCTTCAAGAAGCCACTTTTCTTCCTACAACAGTGAACTTACAGCTCCCCCCCCCCCCCCAAAGTGACAAAGCCTGTGTGCAAATGCTATGGAGCCTTTTGGAGGTGATAACAGCTTCAATTGGAGGGAAAGCGGCACAAACTGAACTGTTACACAAAACACACCTCCCTTCTTATAAGTTCAGAACCAATGTTGTTCATGTTGCTTATGAAAGGCCACCGCTTCCACAAGAAGCAAAATCTTACAGCTGCTGTTGTTTAGAGGGGGAGTGGGTCTCATTCCAGGTAGAAGGTATGGAAGTCAGCTACGGTCCTGAGGCTGCAGGTTAGACCAACATTTGTCGCTTTGACCCAAATGACAATGACAGGGAGTCTGAAAATTCCTGGAGTGTCCTTTCTTTCGCAGCTCAGCCCAAGACGCTGTCGTTGAAAGCGAGGCAGACAACGGCCTTCTGGTGCCCGCTGTACTCCCTCTTAATCTCCCCTGTCTCCACGCACCAGAGCCGGGCTAAGTTATCTGAGGAGGCTGGGAGGGAAAGTAGGAGAAAGAATGGTGAGAGGCCAATATTCAGTTCAAACAGCAACCTCCTAGCAAGAGACAATTATGTTCCCCTCAATCAAGTAAACACAACAAATGATATAGCCATTAACAAAAGCGCCTCTGTGAATATAACCACTTCCTTTTTTAAGCCATCCAATCTGGCAGCCCTCTTGAATACAGTTACTGCAAAGCTACAAGTTTCAGGGCTGAAGGGAAGCCTCATCTGCAGAGAAGGCAACACCTTTCTTTTGTCCACCTTGAATCAAGCAATTTTACCCTCCAAAAATATTCTGAATACACAAAAAATCCCTCTTTTGAACCCTAGCATTCAGACTTCTTCTGCCAAGGGATGGGTATTGGGCCCATCAGAGTCTCCTTATGTTTTCAAACTCTGGTGCTAAGAGGAGTATCTTATTTTCCTGTCGCTGAGACCTGCTCCCTCACCCGTGACAATGTACTGGGAGTCCCCCGAGAAGGCGCAGTCCCACATCCATCCTCGGGAGGTTTCCCCGGGGTTGTTGCTCTTGATGCTCAGCTCCGTCATGAGGGAGAAGTTGGAGGTCCTCCAGATCTTGCAGGTTTGGTCAGCAGAACAAGTGGCCAGAAGCCTGGAAGGAAGAGAGCATTTAACACACACAGTAACGTCAAACTTCAGCCTCCCTATACTCTGAATCGGAGAACGGGCAAAAAAAGCAACCAAGTTGTTTAAGGAGGTTTTGAACACGAGTTGGGTGGCTGTTATTCGGGAATTCTTCGGTTGTGGATGGATTGATGATCTTGTAGAAATCCCTTCCAACCCAACATCTATGAAACATCCATATGCAGGGTGCTCCTAGAACAAGCATTTAACCTGCAGTCGCCTTGCTTTAAAGGCAACTGCAGCTTCCATTTGGAACCTTCCAGTGGCTAAAAGAGCATGCCTTGGCTCAGTCTTCATTGCCAAAGTGGGATTTGAACCATGGTCTCTCTGACTCACCCAACTCTGATTCTTCAAAGAGCTAATTTGCCCAGGACATCCAGTGAGTTTCCATGGCTGAATGGGGATTTGTATCTGGTCAACTGCATTTGCTACCCACCTGTTCTAATGGCTTGAGCTGGGGCACAATATAAAACAACAGACCATAAGAATCCATATATTAAAAACAAAAAAATTAAAACAGAAATACTAAATGTAAAATTTATCATTTAAAATTGGCTGGGTAGGCCTGCCGATGAGATAGGCATTTAATTGTGTTTTAAAATACAACAGTCCATCATTTAAGGGCAGATGATAAAAAGAATCTCTGGGGATAGAGTCACAGGCCAGCATTCAAACCACTGGGCCACACTGGATCCCTCAGGTTATTCCAAGGGCAAGTGAATGGACAAAATAAAAGCTCTGCTAATGCTGCTACTCACGTGGAATCTGGACTGAATTTGCACTGGAGGGCATAGCGGTTGTGGGCAGGGATCTTGGTTTTGGGAATGAGCTGTGTCACCTCGTCTCCGATGCCACCAGTCAGGTTCCAGACATAACAGTTGCCCTGCAAGAGACAAGGAACACAGAACCTAAGGGGTCCAGTTTACAATATACACTGAAGATCAAACAAACGGGCAAGTGGGATAATAAAGTCCCTCTTCGCACTGACCGAACTATTGACAGCGGCCATGTAGCTGGCGTCAGGGTCAATGTGGACGGAATTGACTGAGACCTCAGGTTCTGGGATGAGCTGCTCGTTGTGGTCTGTCTTCAGGTCCCAGATGTGGATGGCCCCACTCTGGTCCCCGACAATGAGCTCTGCCTGAGAGACACACAAATGGCATCAGTAGAAAAGGAAAAGGAGGAGGTGTGAAAGGAAGGAAGAAAGGGCCTCATTCTCCACTACTCTGGAACAAATAAATACCTGATTAGGATGCAGGCAAACACAGTTGATAGGTGCGTTCACCTGGAAGATGCGCTGGCACTGCAGGTTGCGTGACCTGGAAAGCAGAAATCGATTCCAGACGGGTGAAGGTCAACAATCCAATGGATATATTATACCCAGATATAATATACATTATAATGTGTGAAGGCAGAGGAATGCAGCACATTTGCAGAAGTGTGCCCTCTTGGGTCCACACCGTGGATCTAAAAAAGCATTGGTGAATTGCATTCCATGCTCTGTGCCTATTTCACATTTAATAACGTTCTGCACTTGGAGAATTCTGGTATCTGTAGTCTGATGAGGCACTAGAGCTCTCTGGGGGAGAATTCTAGCTGCCCCTCCTGAACTGGATATCCTAGGGTCCTGTTGCCATGCTAAGTGGGATGACAGTGTTGTGCAAAAGCCCCATCAGGGTTAAGGCTAGCAAGGAGAGGAAAGAGGCCACAAACCGGAGGTCCCAGATACGGGCCATGCAGTCTTCTCCCCCAGTGTACATCCAGCGCCCGTCTTCATGGAAACCCACTGAGGTGATGTTCTTGCTGACTCCGTCGTAGTTGATGACGGGGTTCGGGTTGTTGGAGTTCAAGTCATACATCCGGATGTGCTGGTAGCCTGCAGAAGAGACACCATCTCAGCTCCCAAAGGCCTGGAAGTTATTTATTAATGCCAGCATCACAAATAAGAGGGTTCAGGTGCAATTCTACTTCTCAGAGAGAGGCAGCCATTCTCAAAAACACATAATTATTGACCCAGGGTGCAACTACACTGTAGAATGAATGCAGCCTGACACTGCTTTAACTACAAGGGCTCAATGCTAATGAATTCTGCAGATGTATGTTTATAAAGTCTTTCATCTTCTCTGCCAAAAAGTTCAAAATTACAATTCTATATTTTTGAGCCATGGCAGTTAAAGCAATGTCAAACTGCATTCGTTCTACAGTGTAGAATGATGCACTTGAAGTGGGTCAAGAATGGTTCAATCTCTATAATGTGGACTTCTAGCACTACAAGGAAAGAAAGTAAAACATCAAGAAACATTGCCTCTTTGACAAAAGATTTTAAGAATAAACTATACGGCTAGAGTGGACTCGGTGTTCATCTACACTTTGAAGGTAATACAGTTTGGCACTATTTTAACTGTCCTGGCTTGAAGCTGTGAAATCAGTCAGGCACCTGTGCTTTTTGACAGAGAAGCCCAAAAAGTAGCACTGAGCCACTGGGGTTAAGAGTGGTGTCAAACTGTGTTCATTCCACAGTGTAGATGCTCCCTTGAAAGCATGTAATAAGCACACAAACTATGCTACACCATGCTGTCTTCAGATGGCATCCTTACCGGCTGCAGCTATCATGGTCCGGTCCGGGGTGATCTCCAGAGCATTGACCTGCTGGCAAAAGGGGTTAAGGGGCAAACAGAAGGCAACCCCATCCAGCCCTCCAAAAAACCCCTAGGAAGGTTGTAAACCCCAGCTTTCTGCCTTCCCATGCAGCCAAAGGATACAGAGTCCTGGTGCTGGACGGTCCGGGTGCAGATCCCGCTGTGGGCCTGCCAGAAGCGGACAGTATGGTCATAGCCAGCGGTGGCCAGGATGACTGGGTCGCTGCCCACGGTGCCCTGTGCGGTGTTCATGCCTCTGTGGCCTGAGGAAACATCCACACAAAGGTCTTTCTTACTGGACCCCAGTTTTCATCTTCTTTATGGTTCTTTCTTTCCTTCCTCTCTGTTTCCTTCCTACACCTTCTCCTTCCTTTCTTTTTTCCCTTCCTTCCTTTTTTCCTTCTTTTTTTCCCCTCCCCCTTCCTTTCTTCTTTCTATGCTTTCCCTCATACACCTTCTCTGCTCTTTTCTTTTTTCCTTCTTTCCTCTCTCCCTCTTCCTTCATTCCTTTTTTCTCTTCCTTCCTTCCATCCTTCTTTCCTTCCTCTCTCCCTCTTCCTTCCTTTTTCTCTCCCCTTTCCTTCTCCCCTTGCTTTCCCTTATACCTTCCCTGCTCTTTCCTTCCTTCCTTCTTTCCCACTTCTTTCCAGCCTTTCGACCTTCTCTCCTCCTTCTCTCCCCCTCCCTCTCTCCCTTCCTCTTCTGTCTCCCATTTCCTTCCTTCTTTCCCTTTTCTCCCTTTCTTCCTTCTTCCCTCATGTAACCTCCCTGCTTCTTCCTTCCATCCTTCCTTCTTCTTCTCCCAAATCCTTTTTTCCAACCTTTCATCCTTCCTTCCTCTCTTCCCTTCCTTCCTTCCACCCATCCGTCCGTCCGTCCTTCCTTCCTCTTCCTTTTTCTCTCCCTTGCCCTTCTTTCCCTTCCTTCCTTCCTTCCTTCCTTCCTTCCTTCCTTCCTTCCTTCCTTCCTTCCCTTGCTTTCCCTCATAGACCTGCCCTTCCTTCTATCCCTCCTTCTCTCCCCCTTCCTTTTTTCCAGCCTTTCACCCTTCTTTCTTCTTCTTTCCTTCCTTCCTTTCTCCCTTCCTTCCTTTCCCATCCTTTCCTCTACCCTCACTTTCTGCCATTAAAACAAATGCATATAAAATAGTAAAATACATTAAAACTACTCAATGAAGTGACGTACATGCATAGAAGCATAGAACCTTTCCATTTAATAAGGCTTTTAACTGAAGTATGGGAGGATATTAGGGATTTTAATGTTGGTACATAGGGAAGCAAACACGGGGGAGGCTATTGCTTTTACCTTATTTTATGTATCGATGTTTTTATTATGGTTTTACCTTTTTATGATGAATGTTATATGTTGGTATGCTGTAAGCCACCTTGAGTCCCAGTTGCGGAGAAAGGTGGGGTAGAAATACCCTAAATAAATAAATAAAAATAAAAATTGGCCCTTTCCATCATTAAAGCAAATGAACATAAACATATTTAAAAGGCATTAAAAACTACTCAATGAAGCAATGTACATGCATTGAAATAATAAACAATTAAGGACCTTCTGACATTACAGCAAAGAGAAATTAAAATAATAAAATCCATTTTAAAACTCTCGCAAATGGGGATCATTTTGGAGTTTTTGGGAAAAAGGAATGCACAGTCTGCATCATTATGATTACTGTTGTTGTTGTTGTTGTAGGGTCTCTGAGTTTAGAGGCCCTTAAGCTGGGAGATCCAAGCTTCTGGTCCTCATTGAGCCTCTTATTCCCATCTTGCAGAGCTCATTGTCAGCATAAATTAGGGCAGAAAATGGACAACCTTGAGCTCAAAAATTACACAAACGTAAGTATAAGAAATATAAATATTTTGGGTGGGGGAATTGCTACTTACCTTCGGAATTAAAGGAAGGACTACTGGGCAGACAGGCAGACTAGGAACAAGACAGCCACGGCGCATGCGCACACGAGCATCCATTGGGCACCAAGTGCGCATGTGAAACGAGGAAACCAGTCCGCATGCGCAGAAGAGACCCTAGAACACATGGGAAAGTGTTCCTAGTTCTATGGCCGCCCCATAGGGAAGCAGCGACACCTGTCGGCAGAGAGTGGGAAAGCCAGAGCAGGGCCCAACTCGGACATGCGCAGTAGCGTCTGTCAGGGAAGCTCACCCAAGCCTCCAGTCCCTGGATGATGATGTTTTTGATATAGAAAATGATGATTTATGATAATGCATAAATCATAAATCCTGTCTGGCTTCCAATATAGGGACTTCAGACAGCAAACAATAAGACAAATTAATAGGAGTATGCATATATACATAGTATATATACAATGTGTGTGTATATATATATGTATATATTTATATACTTCTATTAATGCATTGCACCACCACACATGCATATATATGCAATGCATTAAGAGAGGTATACATACAATAATAACATTTTAATGTAATAATACTAATATATATAATAATAATGTTGTAATATATATAATATATACGACAATTTATAATATAGTACAATATATGTTATGATACCAATAATATAATATACTAATAGTGTATTATATATAATAATAATAATATAGTACTTTATAATTATATATAATAATTGTATATTATATGTTACATGTAATATTATTAATAATATTGCAGTATAGTGATATAGTAATGTATAATACTAATATTGTGCTATGCTAATATAATGTATATACATGTAATATTGATAATGATATTATAATGTAATTCAATATAATACTATTATTATTATATTGTACTAATAATATTAATAAGTGAAGGAATCTGCTCTTCATAATTCTGAATGAAGCAGAAAAGCTAGAAGAGGCTAATAAAAATAATAATTTATTATATTAGTACTAATAATATTAAGTGGAGAGATCTTCTCTTTCCCACATAACATTATTAATGTAATATATTAATAATCTAGTAACAATAATAATAATAGTAATAATAATATCTGGAAGGATCATCTTTGCCCAGCCCTGGATGGGACAGATGGCTAGAAGGGGGTAATTCATAACAACAACAACAACAACAACAGCAACAATGTTTTGTGTTTGCCTTGTTTGTTTTATTGTTATTGAGTTATTTTTGACATTGTGTTGTCGAAGGCTTTCATGGCCAGAATCACTGGGTTGCTGTGAGTTTTCTGGGCTGTATGGCCATATTCCAGAAGCATTCTCTCCTGACGTTACCCATATCTACGGCAGGCATCCTCAGAGGTTGTGAGGTCTGTTGTAAACTAGGCAATTCGGGTTTATATATCTATGAAATAATGTACAGGGTAGGAGAAATAACTCTTCTCTGTTTGAGGCTGTTTTTGACAGTGTGTTTATTATTGTTTGTTTCTTTTTTTTTTTGTAAGCTGCTCTGAGTCTCATCAGGGGAGGAAGCGGGATATAAAAAAAGCAATAATAATAATATACTAAATAATTATTTAATATACTAAATAATTTAATATACTAAATAATGTGGGGAAACTGGAAGGTAAAAGGAAGAGGGGCCGACCAAGGGCAAGATGGATGGATGGCATCCTTGAAGTGACTGGACTGACCTTGAAGGAGCTGGGGGTGGTGACGGCCGACAGGGAGCTCTGGCGTGGGCTGGTCCATGAGGTCACGAAGAGTCGGAGACGACTGAACGAATGAACAACAAACTAAATAATAGATTAAAATAATAATATCGCAATATAATAATAGAATAATAATAATAGAATAATAATAACCCATGTGCCAGCAGGACTGAAGACCGACAGGTTGGAGGTTCAAATCTGAAGAGAGCACAGATGAGCTCCCTCTGTCAGCTCCAGCTTCCCGCGCAGAGACATGAAATACGCTTCCCACAAGAATGGTAAAACATCTAAACATCCAGGCGTCCCCTGGGCAACACCCTTGCAGATAGCCAATTCTCTCACGCTGTTTCTCAAGTCGCCCCTGACTTGACATTAATAACAGTAATGTATTGTCAAAGGCTTTCATGGCTGGAATCACTGGATTTTTGAAGTTTTTTCGGGCTGTATGGCCATGTTCAAGAAGCATTCTCTCCTGACGTTTCGCCTGCATCTATGGCAGGCATCCTCAGAGGTTGTGAGGTCTTTTGGAAACTAGGAAAATTGGGTTTATATATCTGTGGAAAGTCCAGGGTATATATTATTGATCATAATAATAATTAATTATATAGTAAATAACTAGCGGTCCCCTGCCATGCGTTGCTGTGGCCCAGTCTGGTGATCTGGAAAATAAAGTAATGAGAAAGTGTTGGTTTCTAATATATGTAATGTCTTGATGCTTGTGGGTAAACAGTATTTCTTGTTCTTTCTTTGTCAGTGTTGATGTGGAGATTGTCTGTTTTACTTACTCTGGAAGATGCAACATATCATTGTCCTTCTTTAGGGGTCCCTTTCAAATCTATGATACTCTATCTGTCATATACATGTGTGCGCGTGAATGGCTGGATGGCCCTTTGTCAGGAGGGCTTTGATTATGTTTTCTGGCCCTGATGAAGGGAGTTGGACTGGATGGCCTTAGACAGCATTTCTCAACCTGGGAAGTCAAGACCCAGGGGGGGGGGGGAGGTGTCACCAAGGGGTGTCAGAACGGTCACCAAAGACCGCACAGAGTTTTCTGTTGATAATGGGGGTTCTGTGTGTGATGTTTGGCCCAATTCCATCATTGGTGGGGTTCAGAATGCTCTTTGATTATAGGTGAACTATACATCCTAGTAACTACAACTCCCAAATGTCAAGGTCTATTTCCCCCAAAATCCCTCTGTGTCCACATTTGGGCATATTGAGTATTCCTGTCAAGTTTGGTCCAGATCCATCATTGTGTGAGTCCACAGTGTTCTCTGGATGGAGGTATACTACAATTCCAGAATTCAAGGTCAATGCCCACCAAACCCTTTCAGTATTTTCTGGTGGTCATGGGAGGCCCGTGTGCCAAGTTTGGTTCAATTCCATTGTTAGTGGAGTTCAGAATGCTCTTTGATTATAGGTGAACTATAAATCCCAGCAACTACAACTCCCAAATGACAAAATCATAATTTTTTGAGTGTGTAGTGAGACATTTTGTTGCCAAATTTGGTGTGATTTTGTTCATTGGTTCTTTTGTTTTTGAGGTACTCATTATGCACAGAGCATTTTTTTTATATTTTTATATAGAGAGATATACAAAAATAATATTACAATATAATGACTAATAATAGCTAATAATAATAATAACATTGATGATTGATGATGATAATAATAATAATATAGTAAACAATATACTAAAATAACAATATCACAATATAATGACTAATAATATCTAATAATAACATTAATAATTGATCATAATAATCATATAAATAATATACTAAAGTAATAACAATAATATTGCAATATAATATTAATAGACTAATAATTGCTGATAATAACAAATATTAAATTGATGATATAATAATAATCTATATATATAAAAATGCTCTGTGCATAATGAGTACCTTAAAAACAAAAGGACCAATGAACAAAATCACACCAAATTTGGCAACAAAACGTCTCACAACACAAGGAGTGACCATCACTCAAAAAATTATGATTTTGTCATTTGGGAGTTGTAGTTGCTGGGATTTATAGTTCACCTATAATCAAAGAGCATTCTGAACCCCACCAATGATGGAATTGAACCAAACTTGGCACACAGTTCTCCCATGACCAACAGAAAATACTGGAAGGGATTGGTGGGCAGTGTCCTTTGGTTTTGGAGTTGTAGTTCACCTACATCCAGAGATCACTTTGGACTCAAACAATGATGGATCTGGACCAAATTCTACATGAATACTCAATGTGCCCCAATGTGAACACTGGTGGAGTTTGGGGAAAATAGATTCTTGACATTTGGGAGTTGTAGTTGCTGGGATTTATAGTTCACCTACAATCACAGAGCAATGTATTGTCGAAGGCTTTCATGGCCGGAATCACTCAGTTCTTGTGGGTTTTTTCGGGCTATATGGCCATGTTCTAGAGGCATTTCTCCTGACGTTTCGCCTGCATCTATGGCAAGCTTCCTCAGAGGTCTGCTGGAGCTGGGAAAAGGGGTTTATATATCTGTGGAATGACCAGGGTGAGACAAAAGGCTTTTGTAAGTTGGGCTAGGTGTGAATCTTTTCAACTGACCACCTTGATTAGCATACAATGGGCTGACAGTGCCTGGAGCAAACTCTTCTTGAAAGGTGATTAGATGTCCCTGCCTGTTTTTCTCTCTGCTGTTTTAATTTTAGAATTTTTTTTAATACTGGTAGCCAGATTTTGTTCATTTTCATGGTTTCTTCCTTTCTGTTGAAATTGTCCACATGTTTGTGGATTTCAATGGCTTCTCTGTGTAGTCTGACATGGTGGTTGTGAGAGTGGTCCAGCATTTCTGTGTTCTCAAATAATATGCTGTGTCCAGGTTGGTTCATCAGGTGCTCTGCTATGGCTGACTTCTCTGGTTGAAGTAGTCTGCAGTGCCTTTCATGTTCCTTGATTCGTGTTTGGGCGCTGCGTTTGGTGGTCCCTATGTAGACTTGTCCACAGCTGCATGGTATACGGTAGACTCCTGCAGAGGTTAGAGGATCCCTCTTGTCCTTTGCTGAACGTAGCATTTGTTGGATTTTCTTGGTGGGTTTGTAGATTGTTTGTATGTTGTGTTTCCTCATCAGCTTCCCTATGCGATCAGTGGTTCCCTTGATGTATGGCAGGAACACTTTTCCTCTGGGTGGATCTTCATCTTTACTCTCGTGGCTTGTTCTTGGTCTTGCAGCTCTTCTGATGTCTGAGGTGGAGTATCCATTGGCCTGGAGAGCCCAGTTGAGGTGGTTCAGTTCATCTTGGAGGAGGTGGGGTTCACAGATTCTTTTTGCACGGTCTGCCAAGGCTTTAATGGTGCTTCTTTTTTGACTTGGGTGATGGTTGGAGTTTTTATGTAGATATCTATCTGTTTGTGTGGGTTTTCTGTAAACGGTGTGACCCAATTGTTGATCTGGTTTGCGGATGACTAGGACATCTAGAAAAGGCAGTCTTCCTTCCTTTTCTTTTTCTAGTGAACTGGATGTTTGGGTGGATGCTGTTAAGATGTTCCAGGAACCTGTTGAGTTCTTCATCTCCATGGCTCCAAATGGTGAAAGTGTCATCCACATATCTGAACCATATAGTGGGCTTTTTGGTTGCTGTCTCCAGGGCTTGTTTTTCAAAGTGTTCCATGTAGAAGTTAGCTATGACGGGGCTGAGAGGGCTCCCCATAGCTACTCCATCTTTCTGTTCGTAGAATTCATTGTCCCACTGAAAGTAACTGGTGGTGAGGCAATGGTGAAACAGCAGCCGTGATGTCTTCTGGGAACCTCTGGTTGATGAGTGCCATGGTGTCTGCAACTGGGACCATGGTAAATAGAGACACCACATCGAAGCTGATCAGTTTGTCCTTTGTATTTAGCTTGAGATTGCTGATTTTTTTCAATGAAGTGGGCTGAGTCCTTGATGTAGTGTGTTGTGAGCCCAATGTGGCTTTGTAACTGTGCAGCAAGAAATTTAGCTAAGTCATATGTGGGGGACCCAATTTTCACCATTGCCTCACCCTTTTTCCCAGCTCCAGCAGACCTCTGAGGAAGCTTGCCATAGATGCAGGCGAAACGTCAGGAGAAATGCCTCTAGAACATGGCCATATAGCCCGAAAAAACCCACAAGAACTGAATCACAGAGCATTTTGAACCCCACCAATGATAGAATTGGGCCAAACCTCCCACACAGAACCCCCATGTGGGCCACAGCAACGCGTGGCAGGGGATGGCTAGTAATATTCTAAAATAATAATAATAATACTGCTATATAATAGTAATAAAAATAATAAGTGGAGGGATCTGCTCTTCCCAAATTATATATATGGAGCAGAAAGCTAGAAAGGGTCCTCCAGAGGTCATCTAGTCCAACCCTATTTAAAAAAAAAACATTGCAGGGGGGAAATAACTAGGGAGAGGGACAGGAGAAGAGGATCTCAGAGAGGGAGGCCCATGGACTCTTCTGTGTTGCATTGTGCTGTGCGGACACCTCGGCGCAGGCGCGCATCCATCCCGCGTTAGCTGCCCCCTCCCTTGAGTGTCGTCCTCTCCTTTCCCCCGCCTCCTCTGCTGCTGCTGCTGCTGCTGCTGCTCCGCCCCGCGCCGGCGCCTGTGCTGCTGGTGCTGCAGGGCTGGGCGATGCCAAAGCGGTCTCAGTCCCCTCGGAGCCCCCTCCTTCTCTTCTGGGGCTCACCTGGCCCGGCCAGGTAAGCAGAGGGAACCCAGGTGAGTCCAGGAATGAATGGGAAGCAGAGGGAGGCAGATCATGATGGCATTAAGGCGGGGGAGGGGGCGGGGGAGGAAGAAGAGCAGGTTGCCATGGGAGACAGGTTGCGGGGGGGGGGGGCTCTTCCAACTCAGGTGAGTCCCCTTCCAGGACAGGTAGCAAGGTCTCTCCTCTTTCATCCTTCACCCTGCAGGCCTTGAAGGGGAGAATCAGCCCGGAATGGGTGCAATGAATCACAATTTGGTATTATTATTATTATTATTATATTTAAATGAAGGAGGGGGGGACTGTCTTCCATGTGACACACCTGCAGGAAGAGGTTTTAAAAATTATTATAATCCAGGGGTGACGCACCTGCACGAAGAGATTCTTAAATAATAATAATAATAATAATATAAATTAAGGTGGAGACAAGACTAGCATTCATATCTTCCATATGACGCATCTACAGGAAGACAGTTTTAATATAATAATAATAATAATAATAATAATAATAATAATAATGGAGTCCCCAGTGGTGCAGTGAGTTAAACTGCTGAGCTGCTGGTCTTGTTGACCGAAAGGTTGCAGGTTCAAATCCGGGGAGCGGCGTGAGCTTCCGCTGTCAGCCCTAGATTCTGCTAACCTAGCAGTTTGAAAACATGCCATGTGAGTAGATCAATAGGTACTGCTTCTATGGGAAGGTAATGGCGCTGCATGCAGTCATACTGGCCACATGACTTTGGAGGTGTCTACGGGCCATGCCGGCTTTTCGGCTTAGAAATGGAAATGAGCACCAGACCCCAGAGTCGGACACAACTGGACTTAATGTCAGGGGAAACCTTTACCTAATAATAATAATAATAATAATAATAATAATAATAATAATATGAAGGGGAAGCAAGACTAGCATCCTGGGCATCTTCTATGTGACACACCTACAGGAAGAAGTTTTTAAACAATTATTATTCGTTGTAGTATTATTATATTTAAATTAAGTTGGAGGCAAGACTCGCATCCAGGTTGGAGGTGTCTTCCATGTGGCCCACCTACAGAGAGAGGTTTTAATAAAATCCTAATTTATTGGGTGAAATTAATCACAATTTGGTATTATTATTACTAGTAAAGATAAAGGTTTTCCCCTGACATTAAGTCCAATCGTGTCCAACTCTGGGGATTGATGCTCATCTCCATATCTAAGCCAAAGAGCTGGCATTGTCTGTAGACACCTCCAAGGTCATGTGGCCAGCATGACTCCTACCTTCCAGCCGGAGCGATACCTATTGATCTACTCACATTTGCATGTTTTCGAACTGCTAGGTTGGCAGAAGCTGGGGCTAACAGCGGGAGCTCACCCTGCTCCTCAGGTTTGAACCTGTGACATTTTGGTTAGCAAGTTCAGCAGCTCAGTGGTTTAATCCGCTGCACCACCGGGAGCTATTATTAATATAGTTAAATGAAGGTGAGGCCCAAGACTGGCATCCAGGGGTTTTTCCATATGGCCCACCTGCAGGAAGAGGGTTTTAAAATAATAATAATAATAATAATAATAATAATTATTATTATTATTATTATTATTATTATTATTATTATTATTAAATGAAGGGGAAAACAAAACTGGGATCCGGGAAGGGGGTGGGGGGATTCTATGTGGCTCACCTGCAGATAGGATTTTATTAAAATCCTAATTTATTGGGTGAAATCAATCATAGTTTGGTATTATTATCATCATTAAATGAAGAAGAGGTCCAAGACCGACATCCAGGGGTGTCTTCCATGTGACACGCCTGCAGCAAAGCGTTCATCACATCTAATTGTTATTAGGGAACAATAAATCATAGCTGGGAATTATTATTATATATATTAGTATATTTAAATCAGCAGGGACCCAAGAATTGTGACCCGCCCCCCTTTTTTGCAGGGAGATTATTTTAAAAATGTCAGAGTTATAGGATGCAATAAATCACAGGTGAAAGTTCATCTTTTTTTCTTCTTCTTAATTATTATTATTATTGATTTATTATTATTATTATTATTGATATGACATTTAAGGGAGAGGGACCCAAAACTTGCATCTGTGGGATCTTAAATGTGGCCCACCAGCAGTGGGTTTTTCTAAAAAGCCTCATTTCTAACGTGCAATAAATCAAGGATAGGGATTATTATCAGTATATTTATTGTTGTTATTAGCATATTCAAATTAGTATATTTAAATGAAAATGGGCCCAAGACTGCAATGCATGTGGTCTTAAATGTGACTCACCAGCAGGAAGAGGTTTTAAAATTATTATTATTATTTATTTATTTATTTAAATGAGGAGATGCCTGAGATTGGCATCCCGGAGGGCTTAAATGTGACTCACCTGCAAGAAGAGGTCTTATAAAATCTAAGTTTTAGTAAATCACAATTGGAAATAATAATATTTATTAGTATTACTATTATTATATTAAATGAAAGGGAGGCAAGACTGGCATCCAGGAAGTCTTAAGTATGACTCACCTGCAGGGATTTTTTTTTAAAAAATCTAAGTTATAATAAATCCCAGCTAGGGATTTATTATTGTTATTATCATTACTATGTTTAGAAGAGGGCTCCACCGAATTGAGAATGGGGTTCCATTGCAAAAATTGCTATAAACATTATTTGCAAACTACTCTGGTGGTTGCAGACAATAATATTCTGCAGACTGTTTTTATTTATTTATTTATTTATTTTGGCAAAGGTTTTCTGAAGGGCTTTGCACACATCAGCCAATGCTCTTTGGACTGGTGTTGCAAACCATCAGAAATCTTGCAAAACCTATTTTGCAACCTTCTTTATTTATTTTTATTGCTTTTATTATAATACGACGTAAACAATGCTGCCTTTCTCCCCAAGGATAGCAGAGGTGGCACTGGCTTGCACATGACTTGGGATATTGCGTTCCGGAACCCAAAGGGTGCCAAAAAACATTTTGCAAAATGCTTCACAAACAATACGATGTAATTGTTGCCAACTCAGTTCTGTGGATGTTGCCAGCAACGGTTTGCAAACAAATAATAAAACAGGAAATGTAGATGATTGGTTTAAAATGTATTGTTATAATGCCAATTATGATTGTTAGTAATAATAATCATCATAATTGTTTTTACTTTTATTTTATATTAATATATTTAATTTAATTTTGTATATTATTATTTTTATTCTATGTTTATATTCTTATTATTTCTATATTTTATCTTATATTTTATTTGTATATAGTATTATTATTTGTATATTTTATCTTATCTTATATTTTATTTGTATATAGTATTATTTTGCTTTTATATATTCCTGTTTTTTTATTTTATTGTATTTATTATTATTATTATTATTATTATTATTATTATTATTATTATGTCAAATATTGTAGTTTCTCGCGGTCCATCAGCCTTCTCTGCTTAAGGCCTGACTGAACTATAACTCCCAAGTATCCACAGCCGTAAGCTATCACAGTTAAAGTGGTTTCAAACTGCATTAATTGGACAAGGCAGATGCACCTCCAACTTCCAAAAATAAAAGGAAATTCAAATCCATTAGCCCCATTGGCGCCAGTTTTAAGTGGATGATGGGATTAAGCATTATCCTTGAGAGTGGAGACTGTGCAGTATTAAGGCATTAAGTCTGTATATCCAACATATATATTGCAAAGGGCTTGCAGAAGACACCTAAAATCCCAACTTATCCGAATGCACAGCCAAATGCAAAGTTTGTGTTTTAATAAAGGGAAAAATCCATTTGGAAGCTGCTGAATCAAAGGACATTCAAGATAAGGCCTGTTTGCCTGATAGGCTGAATTCTGACCCTCCCGAATTGTTAATCTGCTCTTTGGCCTCATGCCGTTGCTGACCTTCAAGAGGCCTTTTCTCATAGAAAGACTGCCTGTTTTGCAGAAATGAGGCGACTGCCTCTTTGCTAAGCAAAACCTGGCTCCCAATACTATTATTTTTCAATAGATGCAATGGGTTCCAGGTGCAAATTCATCTCCCTGGGTCCAGAAATCCTCAGGAGGTGCCATTGGTTTGCCCTGCCAACCTTCACTTCTGTTATTGTTATTATTATTGCTAATTTTTTTCTTACCCTCCTCTGGACTAGATGGCCTCTGGGGGTCCCTTCCAAACTCTTTAATACTCAGTGATGCTGATGATAGTTATAACAATATTATTAATACCTTCTTCTCAAAGGCTGGGCTAGATGGCCTCTGGGGAACCCGTCCAGCTCTTTAATGCTTGATGATGATAGTGATAATAGTAATTTTAATGTTATTTTAATTTGAATATTATCATTTATTAATAATAATTGTCTTCTTACCCTCCTCTGGACTAGATGGCCTCTGGGGGTCCCTTCCAAACTCTTTAATACTTGATGATGCTGATGATAGTTATAATAATAATAATAACAATAATAACGAGACTGTGGCACAAGCCAGTAAAAGTGGTCCCAGTGGTGATCGGCACACAGAGTGCAGTACCTAAAGACCTTGGCCTGCACTTAAACACAATCGGCGCTGACAAAATTACCATCTGTCAACTGCAAAAGGCCACCTTGCTGGGATCTTCGCACATTATTCACCGATACATCACACAGTCCTAGACACTTGGGAAGTGTCCAACGTGTGATCCAATACAACAGCCAGCGGAGTGTACTAATCTTGTTGTGTTTCAAATAATAACAACAATAAACTTTATTTGTATCCCGCCACCATCTCGGGGACTCAGAGCGGCTCACAAAGAACTCAAGAGTGCGATAACACAGAGAATACAGTAGGTACATTAACGTATAAAACAGAACAATAAAAAATATACACACAAAGTTTATATAACGATCTATAAAACTCGTACTGATTAAACTTCTTCAATAAAACGCAACAGGCTGCGAATATAAGCAAGCTGTAAACGATGTCAGTCACAATAAAGTGCAAAGTAAAAACAATCACTTGTCCTTGAATTTAATGAATAGACATGGTTAAGGCTTGGTTAAAAAGCCATGTTTTCAGATGTG